GGGGATATAAGGAATTCAGAGAGTATCTAGCTATATACCCGATATACAAAACACACTAGAAACTATATTATAAACCCTATAGTAGTCTATAACCTATTATTCCCCCACCTTACCCTTACTATATAATATTAATTAACTTTATTCTCGCACTACTATTATCGGATAAAGGATATAATACGGCTATAGCCATAGTGGATAAGTTCTCTAAAGAGCTAAAAGTTATACTAGGCTCTAAGAATTATAGTGCCGAAGACTAAGCAGATAAGCTTATTAATAACTTATTTAACGCTAATTAGGGTCTCTCTAAATTTATTCTCTCGGATCAGGATCCTAAATTCCTCGTATAGGTCTAAAAAAGGATCTAATAACGGCTTAGGACCACGCTACTATATACTATAGCATACCACCTATAAATAGATAGCTAAACCGAACGCATTATATAGATTATCGAATCGGCGCTCCGCGGGTATATCCACTTATTATAACGTCCAGAACGATAGGAAAAAGCTATTCCCCGCCTATAGTTCGAGTATAATATAACCAGGTCAGTAACTACTAAGTATAGCCTAATAAAGATTATTAAGGGATTTACACCGAATAATATTATATCTACTATAGTCGGCTATCCTAATACGCCTCCGATAATAAGAATAGAAGCAGCCGATACGATTATAGAAGCCGTAATATCGATAAAACGATATTACGACCGCCGTTATATAGCGAAATTCTTTAATAAGGGTTCTAAAGTATACCTCCGACTATATAAGGGATATTCTATCCCCTTATCTTATATTATAATAACGAAGCTCGGCTAATAATACGCCGGTCTATTTAGAATTCTCAAACGTATCGGACGTTTAGTATATAAGCTTAATCTGCTATAGACGTGGAAGATCTATAACGTTATATCGGTAGACTATCTCGAACCAGCATAAATAAATATATACGGGCGGACACTACCCCCTATCCAGCCACTTATCGCCGAAGAGCTTCCTATTAATAGGATTATTATAATCGATAATAAATATCAGGATAGACGGTAGTATTTAATCCGGTTTAAGAACCTCCTACTAGAGCATAACTAATAGGTTACTCGAAATATAATCCTTAAGTAGCCTAACGCTATATAGTTATTAAGCGTCGAAAAGCTCCCCTAATAACTACTTAAATAATATTAATAACGATAGGGAAGGCACGTAACGGCGGCCCACCTATCATGACTTCTACGATATTACACCTACCCTGGCTTCCTATATATTCTCTCTATTTTTAACTATATAAAACTAGAATCTTATTCTATTACTAGAAACTTTTATATATACTATTCCCTATTTATTTCTTCCTAACTCTAACCACCCTTTAATAGTTAATCGTCGCCTAGTAATGAGGTATCCTATTACCTATTTATAGATATTACGTAAATAGCTTACCTAGTCTATTATCTATATCTCTACTATAATTTTAATCAGAATCCACGGAGCATTATGAATATAAATAATCCGGGTTAGTCGATCCAGTATAGTATCCTATATACGCTAGGTCCCCTATATAACCGTAATTCTATAGGTATATACCTAGTTCTCCTATTAGAGGGCGAGTGTAAAGAAATGTATAACCACTTTAAGGAGGATATTAATATATACCGATCGGCACTTATACAGGTTTAGGGTATTAGCGAGGACTAGGTCCGCGAGGGCCGTTAGGCCGCGAAAGAAAGGCTGCTCTAGGCCTACACCACCGTAATAAATAGCGGTATTTAGCTAGCTACTTTATTCCCTTACCCCGGATAACTTATACTTACTCGTGCTTAGGCTAGCGGATACGTAGTCACGCTTATACCTAGAGTCACGTATTTAACTTCCGTCCTTAATAGCTAGCGACTCTATATACCTAGCGATATTATTTAGGCCGTGATTAATACCGTACCACGCCTACTTAAGATTCCCCCTTAGGAAAGATTTAATCCCCGCTATATTATCGTTATAGAATATATTACTCGACACCTTGCTCGTTAGCTTTATAGCAATAATCCCCCTATATCCTATATCACTTTCGATATAGTCTTTACTATATCTAATAAGGCTAGGCAGAGAACCGACTAAAATAATGCCGAGCAGGATATATAATAGGCTAACCGGTCTATAATAACTGATAACGGAACCGTAACTACCGATAATACCACGTAACACGAATACACTAATACTATAATATCCACGGAAGTATTTATATAGATAGATACCTAGTTACTCCACGTAGCCTACACTAAGTAACTTAACCGATATATAGTATATAAAAACCGCACGTTATATCTTAATAATACCTAGAATATTAATAAAGTCGGTAAATAAATCTATAAGTATATTACTAAGGGCGAGAAACAGGTCCTCTAAGGTATACATATATAGCATATATAATTAGTATAACTCACCTAGACCTAATACCGTGAATATAACGAGAAAATCGTAGATCTAGCCTATACTACCTAGGGTATAATAGGCCGATACCAGGAAGATTCCCTTTATATAATCTATAATAGATATATTACTAATCAGAAACTAGATAATAATAATAGTAACCTCCTCGTATATATCCAGAATAACTATTAGGAACTAATGAACCGTCTATAAGCTAATCACTAATAGCTAATAAGCTAACTAGAGGCTAATAACCGCTAATATATAAACGCCACTAAGGATTAATAACGTTAAATCACGTAGGCTATCGTAGCGCTTAACGATAAAATTCGATAGCTCCGCTAAACCGTTTAGGGTAAAACGGATATCGATACTAGTTAAATTATTAAGCGTAACCGTAGTATATAACCGATTAATCTTAAACGCTGTAGTATATAACTATCACTATATACACTTAATTACTTTATAATTTATAATAGCTTTACGTTATATAACCGGGAAATAGGATATTCGGGAACTAAGAGAACACGTGATATAGGGTAGCTTTCTTTATAACGAGGATATTATTATATTTCGGGGGGCCTATATATAGCGAGAGCCACACCGACGTAGTCACGTGACCACCAGCCACACTATAGCGATACACCCTCACCCATATCGGGATAGCATACGTTCTAGATAGCTAGTTAGAGGGTTCTCCTATACATCTACAGTTTACACCATATCTTGATCGCACCGTTTATGCTACTAGTCCTGCACCATCCTTACAACTTCGGGCCAGCGCGGGTTCACTACACGTGACGGAAATCATACACCATTCAACTACGGATGCCCGTCTTAATAATGAGGTAACTGTGATTATTGATAGCAGCCAGTCCCAACTAACCAACTTACCAACTAACCAACTCCGTAACCCATGCCCTTACTCTTATGATAATCCCATCTGCTAGTAATTATCTGCCGTCTGTTGTTGGTACAGAAAATAACGAGTGACCGCGGGTCGCCCCTGTTTCTCCAACCTCAAGGGGAAAAGCAGGAAGCTTTATGCAAAGAGAAAAAAAGAATGAATAAAAAAAGGTAATAAAGGAGTAAATAAACGAAGAGAGGGTAGTAAAAAAAAAAAAAAAAAAAAAAAGATGACGAAGAGCTGGGGGAGAAAGGAAGAAGAAAAATAAAAAAAAGACCAACCAAATCGCCCATCATCATCATAATAAATCATCGTCATAAATGGGGAACCAAAAGCCTTCCTCAACCAACCCGCAGCTCGTCACCCTCAGGAACCCCCGGCTCAACATGGTTCCTCCACTCGAAAACCCGGTTCATCCCCCGCCCCGGCCCCGTCAGCCCCGCCAGCGTCGACGACTTGGGCTCGCTATGCCGCCTCCGCCGCCTCGGCGTCCCCAACGACGCCGTCTCGCGGAAATACTCCTGCTGCTCGTAGTAGTCCCGGAAACCGCGATTGTCATGGTGGTACTCGTGCGGGCCCGGGCTGGAGATCATGCTGGGCGCTCCCGTGCCGCCGCCGCCGCCGCCCATCATCATCCCAGGCATCATCATCCCCGGCGCCATCCCCGGCGCCATCCCGGCCATCATCCCAGGCATGGACATCATCCCAGGAACGATCGTGGGAGCCCCATGCATCGACGGCGACGGTGGCGGCGCATGTCGCATGCCCCCCATCGGACTACCCGGCCCGCCACTATACATCGGCCCTTCCTCCATAATCGACGGTGGTCCCATCCACCCGGGCATCGACATCGGCATCGACATCGGCATCGAACTCGGCCCCGCGCCTGGTACCGGTCCCGCACCCGGAGGCGGTACCATGGGCATCGCCGGTCCGCCGTGCGCCGCCCCCTGGTGGCCCATCATCCCCATGCTCGCCCGCCCGCCGGGGCTCGTGCGGAATTCCGATAGCCGGTCAGCCAGCCGCTGCTCCATCGGGTCGTGCCGCACCCCCCTTGCGCGGTTGACGTCCGCCAGGTAGTCGCCGCCCCCCGCTGCCGTAGGCGGCGCCGGTGGCGACGGGGGCGTCGGTACATGCATGCCCATGCCCGGTGGCGGCCCCCGCCAATAGTCCTCGTTCGTCGGCACGGGCCCTGCTGCTGAAGGCATTTTGCCCATTTTATTCCCCATCTGGCCCATGTGGCCCATGTGGCCCATGTGGCCCATGTGGCCCATTTTGCCCATTTTACCCATACCGGCAGCATCTCCCATGCCGTTGTGGTAATGCCCATAATCATCATCGTCGTCCTCGTCGTCGTCGTCGTCATCGTCATCGTACTCATCATCATCATCATCCTCCTCCTCCTCCTCCTCCTCCTCCCTGTGCATCCGCCGCGCCATATGCTGCCCACCCTGCCTCTCTTGCCGTCTACGCAACCGCATCTCCTCCTCATAATTCGTAGGCCTTCGTCGTACCGCATTGGGCGTGATGGTGCCAAAGTCAGTCTGGCTCCGATGCAGGCCCCTGGGAGGATGCATTTGCGTGTTGAGCCTGTCCAGCCTGTCCCGGTCCAGTCGCATAGGCATCTGCATGGGCTCGAAAGGGTTATCTTCCGGCAGGTCGTCGTGGTTGAACCAGGGACAGTCGCACGTCTTCCACTTTGACCCGCAAATCATGCAAAACTGGGCTCCGCATAGACTATCGTTTTGGCAAGAGTTAGAACGAAAAAAAAAGGGGAGGGGGCAAAAAAGGGCCAAAAGGGGGCAAAAGAAATGGCAACGCCGCCAACGTACCAGGTCATATGATAACACCCCTCCTTCAACTCCACCATAGCCTTGCATTTATGGCATCGCTGCCACCCCGCCTCTTTCGCCTGCTCCAAGAACCGATTCGTCTCCTCGTCTCGGGGACACTCCCGCGACGCGTGCCACTTGCCGTGGCACGCGCAGCAGACTTTCGTCTTGCACCGCCCGCACTTGCCGTACTTGCGCCCGCCCTCCTCGCGGTGCATGTCCTCCGGCTTGATCCACTCGCCGCACCGCTTCGACGGGCAGTACACCCGGTTCCGCGTCGAGAACTCGGCAAACTTCTTGTTCCACGTGCGCTTGAACTCGTTCGAGAACAGGCCGTCCACGTGCTTCAGCGGGATGTGTTGCGCACAGCACTTGGGCGGCATCTGCTGCGGGTCCTTGACCGACAGCTTGAAGCTCGTCCTGAGGCACGGCCTGCACATCCGGTGGCCGCACTTGAGCTTCGCCGTCTTGCCCGAGGGGAACTCGTCCATGCATATCAGGCATTGCGACTGTTTCGCTGACGGCTCCGTGATCTTGGTCTGGGACTTCCTGTTCGTGCCGAAGAAGGGGCCGCGTGCGGACTCGCGCCTGACCGAAGAGGCGCTCGGTGAGGTCAGCTGCGAATCGGACGTAACGGATTGATGGAGAGAGGGAGGCCTGGACGGATGTCGCGAAGGAGGTCTCGATTGATGGAGCGAAGGAGGTCTGGACGGATGTCGGGAAGGGGGTCTGGACGGATGTCGGGAAGGGGGTCTCGATGGATGTCGCGAAGGAGGCATGGATGGATGTCGCGAAGGGGGTCCTGATGGGACGAAAACGACCGGAGCAGGCCGCACTCTGGGAGGTGGTAGACTACTATAGGAATTTGTTAGAAACGTTCTCCTTTTCTCTTTTTCCTTCTTCTTTTGTTTAAACGAACCTTTGTCGGGAGCGGTGAGGCGTCCTTGAACGCTCAAACGTGCTATGACTATGACGAGGATTATCGCGGCGGGCCGTGGTGATGATATGAATATTGTCCATGGATTTCCGCGACGACTGCCGTGACAAGTCCGGCGCGGTTTTGCGGCGGATCGGGGATCGGTGGGAACTGGGGTTTGATCTGTGATGGTGGTTGAGGAGACGGCGAGGCGCTGGTGGCCAAAAAGAGTCGTGGTCTTCTTCGTCGTCGTCGTCGTCGTCAGCGTGCTCGATCTCGCATATTATAGGTTCTCCGCGTCGATGTCGGTGCCTTCGTCTCTCTTCGGCTGCTGCTGCTGCTGCTGCTGCGGCCGCCGCCGCTCCTCCTGCATCTTCCGAATCGGAATCGTCAAAGTCATCGTCAGAGTCGGAATCGGTTTCATCCTTCTCGACCACGAGCTGTGGACGCCGATAGGGCGGTGGTTGGGACCTTTGCTGGGTCCTCTGCTGGGTCCTCTGCTGGGGATTTTGTTGCGACGTTTGTGGGGTCCTCCTCTGTTGTGGCCTCTGTTGGGTTCTCTGAGGTTCCCTCTGCTGTCCCCTCTGCTGGGGCCTCTCTGGGGTCCGGCTGGGCCTCCTGGCCTCCTGGGTAGAGACGGTGTCGTCGCTCGAGTCCTTATCCGACGCGTCGGTAAACGAGGTGCGAGACGAAGGCCTCGATTCCGGGGTCGAGCGCCAGTGACGGGCGGGGGACGGTGGGCTGACGTTCCGCCTGGAGCTCCTCCAGCTGGCGGGTGAGGGCGAGGGCGACTCTTCGTGACCGTGACCGTGACCGCGTCCGTGTATGTGTCCGTGTATGTGTCCGTGTATGTGTCCGTGTCCGTGTCCGTCGTGAGGGGGGTAGCCGTAAGAATCCCTCGCTCTCCTGTGCGCCGCCGTGGATGACCTCGTCAGGAGTGGCATCATATCGACTGGCGCAGGCGCAGGTGCGCTGTCGGACCGAGAGGTTCGACTTGGGCGTAACGAGAAAGGGGACCAGTCTTCGGGCTGCGGTTGTTGTTGTGGTTGTTGTCGTAGTATATTCCTCCTCGGGGTTCGGTAAGGCAGCGGCGAATCGAGGGTGGGCGGCTCACCACGGGCGAACCAATGATGTCGGGCTGCCAGCGGGGAGTCGCTGGAGGGGTGTCTGTGTCTCCTTCGCCCATGTCGGCCATGTGGTCCCCGTCGACCAAAGACGTCTTCTTCCACGTCGAAATAGGCCATTGGGCTTAAAGGAGCCTCGTCGGCGGGGGGGAAGGAGGAATTGGCTTAGGAGAGGGGGGGAGGGGCAGGGGGGGGGCAAGGGGGGCCAGCGTCGAACAGCTGGAAGCCCGTGACTGGAGAGACTCAATGCATGCGGGTTGGAGGCGATTGGGCGTCAAGTCAAGGGTATGATGCATAAGCTAGGGGGGGAATCCACCACAGATAGGCTAGTTCGTGACGCCCTGGAATTTCGTATCGTCAGTAAACCCAGTAACCACGTACGTTGTAGGGAGGAAATTGGGGCCAAGTGAGCTGGCAGCAAAACCATGCAGCCTACAGAGTGCAAGAAGTTGGGAAGTTGGGCATCAGCCGTAGCCGGTGTGAGAAGAAAGGGCCAAGACTAGGGACAACGACTACTTTTCTAACCCGTTTCGTCTCCCTTTTTTTGTTTTGGTGCTAGTTTTTCGCGGGGAGCTTTTCTTACTTTGAAGAGTGAAGAGGGATGGCTATCAACCATCAAGCAAGGAAAGGGACAGCGGCAGCCCCCGCCCCCCTGTTTGCTTTGCGTTGACCACAATCACAAGCGGCCAACACCAAGCCGCTGGGTACAGCTCACGGGGTAGCTGCCGCAGCTTTGTGTCGGTAGAGACACGCGATGGACGCGATGAAAAAAAGCTGAGGTGGACGGGAATCGACAGGAATCGACCACGGATCCCGCAGGTCGTCCAACAACAAATGGGGGCGTGTGCCCAGATTATTGGTTCCGTAAATCGTCAGTCGGTCAGTCGTCCGCGGGGGGTTGGTGGGAGGGAGGCGGGGGAGCAAGTCTTCCTTTTTGGGCGACTCCTCTCGTGTGACTGGGAGAAACTGGGAAGAGTGGGATTCGCAACGCGGATGGAAGCGAACGACGAACGAACGAACTTCGTTGGTTCCTCAAGACATGACCAGCTGCAGTGCACCGTGCAGTAGGCAGGCGGATTATCATTGCTTCCGACGCGGGGGTGGCAGGGAGCCAATGAATGTGACCAGGAAATAAATAAATAAACAAAAAAAGAATTTACATAAAGAGAAACATACAAGTCTTAAGTAAATAGACGATTGCCTAGTACCCGTAATAGCCATCGAAACGACTAAAGCGAGAGGCAGGAGCCGTTCCCTCACGGCTACAGAACCACTACCCAGTACCTAACTAAAAGAGTACCCGTCATCGGTCCGCTTAGCTGCCAGATTAAGGTAGTTTGCCGTAGCTAGGAAGCGGCTAGAGGTTTGTCCTCTGCTAACGGCTAACAGCTGATACCTAGGTACCTTATATAAGGTAATGGCAAGTCCACCTACCTACCTAAGGTACGTACGGTAGGTACCTACCTTTAGGCACCGATGAATCACCAGATAGGTCCTAGGACGAAAGTCACAGAACCGATCACTGGTCACTGGTTAGAGGGTTACGGAGTCGAGCTTATTATATACTATACGTCTGGACGGTGATCTACCATTTCTTCTGTCTTTAGTACCTAACCGTTCTACATCCTGATTTCCATGTCCGATTCTATATATACCTAAGGTAGGTAAAGGTAGGTATCACTTTGTACAACAGACCATCTCCATCTCAACTTCTCCCCTCTCTTCTCGACATAACAAGCAGAATATGGGGGGACATGATGCCGTCTAGGTACGGTAGGTAGTTAACCCGGATCTTAATAACATCGTCACCACAAAACCACAACCACCAACTCATTCAACTAGGTTCAACTTGTGGCCACCCAACCTTAAACCCCACCCCTGGTCATTGTCAGGAACAGGCAAATCAACGACGAAAGTCTCACAACGTGTTAAACTGACTCAAAAACACATCAATCCCAAACCCCCAAGTACCGGCCCCCTCCTCCCCCCCATCTCCTTGGCCCGACTTCCTCCCTTATACATACCTTACATAAGGTAGGTTGATATTACATTAAGGTATACGTTGTACACCGAAAGACACACCAAACCCGCAGATCTCCCGATTTCAAGCCGCCCCACGTCGACTACTCCGTACCCCGTACCTCTGCACTCGCTTCCCCTCTCAGTGAAATCCCACCCGTCCCGCCCAGCCAAGTTAGCCAAAATTAAGAACGGAGGACCACGACCACCACAGCCTTTGAAACGCGGAAACCCCTCGGAACTCAACCACAGCGGGGAAGGGGGGAGGGGGGAGGGGGGGAGGGAGGGGCCCCGATTACGCCGAGACGGGATCCGCTGGTCCCCAGGGTTGCATCTTATCGTGTCGTCTTTCTATTTCTACGCGAGTACCAGAGCACCGAGTTAATTACAGCACCTCCTCGCTTTCCCTTTCCCATCCACAGCGCTATGAATTACATCGTCGTACGCGATCCCACCGTTTCATCAAGGGGAATCCCAGACCACCCGTCAAGTGCCGGATGACATGGCAGGACGGACAGGCTCTAGCGAGACGGAAGAGCCAAAACAGGTGACAAGGGCATAAAAAAAAAGAAGAAAAAAAAAGCAAATACGGACTCGAGAGATCCGTGGCTCCCAACGTCCGAGGAAATACCGTTCCTTACGCCTACATACCGACATGACATGTACAACGTACGACGCACAACGTAGAAGACAAGACGGGATCTCAGGATGACTGCGAACCGCTGCTGCCCTTCGTATGTATGTACGTCGCGCATATTCCGGGGAACTGCTGCGCCCCCTCTCATCTCCTCAACCTCCACTCCCCTCCTCCGTATCATCCCAACCAAGCACCCAAGTCTACGGTAACGAGAGTTCGGGCCGCCCCATACTACGACTACGGCTTCGCTTCCAAAGCTGTCCTGTCCCTCAGCGTCGACCGGCTCTCTTTGCCTGTCGATCGACGCTGTCCGTGGATCGCAGACATGCTTCGCCTTCGCTTACCTAGCATTACTGGAAGACCCACGATATTTGGTACGCTAGTAGAATATGCCCTCACTTCAAACGGAAACTCACTTTGGTAAACTCGGATGCATATTGCTTGGCCACACCCCCCATCACAGTCAATCAAAGGTTGGAAGTGCGGTGTATAGAAGCACAGTTTCTCATCATGCTTAGACCTATTACCAACAGCGCTCTTCTCTCGCCCAGTCTTCCCTGAAGACCGGTACAGGACCAAGAGCCAGCCGGCCGCCGTTTCGCCATTTCACTCAGAATTCCACCCCCCTCCCCAATATACGCATGAAATTAAAGCTACACATACCCAACATGGTCCCGTGTTTGAAGCCAAAAAGAAAAAAAAAAAAAGAAGAAGAAAAGAACCCCCGAATAAGAAATTAAGAAAGCAAGGGGAAAAATGAAAAAGTCAAGACATTTTCCCTCCCAATTGACAAAAAACACCACCGAGTCGTCAGTTTTGTCATTAGGGTGTGCGGAGCGGTAACCGCGTCCATCCCTCCGCGATACCACCAGCCCATCCAATCCGCCCTCCAATCCGCCCTCTTCGTACAGCCCATCCCATTTATTCGTACATCGCGAGGAAGAAGAAAACCAGAAAAAAAAAATATAAAAAAATCCGTTGATTGCTGATCTTTGCCAACTGGGGTATATGTGCAAAAAATGCGGGTGGTAACGCATGCTTTCCCGTACTTTGTCCGAGAAAAAGGGAAAAAAACATGAAAAATAAAATCGAACGGAAATGAGCGAGAAACCCCCCCTTGTCCGGATCGTCATTTTCGTCTCCTCGTCGAGGTGACCACTCCGAATGCATTGGGGTAATTGTAATTCTCTTCCTTCCACTAACGCAGCCCACCCACTCCCTCTTTCGGGCGTAGTTCTCTCGTTCTCGTCCGAGGGGCTGCTACTCCGTACTGTCCGTTTCGTTCTGTGGCAGGAAGCGGACTATCGGCCCGAATGCCGCGACTTGAACCCTGTCCCAGCTTCCATTAAAGTGCGCAGTGCAACCACACTGCTCAGCCCTTTTCCATGTGGTCAGTCATCTCCACGATGGGATGGACAACTTTCTTCTTTTTTTTCCTGGTCCATCGCGCGCTAAACCAAATGAATGCGCACAAGGTGGGATCAGGCATTCGTGCAAATCGTTGCCCGTCTTTTTTCAGGGGACTTTTCGCACATCGCTTCCTGTTATGGCTCGGATCGTCGTCGGTGGTGTCGGACGTAGATTTGCGGCACAAATCAAGGGTGGTTCTGTAACCGTCGCAGCCGGAGTGGGCGAAGCCGTTGTGTGATTTTCGCAGTGGCGTGAGGGGGGAGACGTCGAAAGTCCCATTTTGCTTACTGTCGTATCGCGGAAGGCGACAGAAAAATAAAATAAAAGAGAAAACGTATTGAAATGCTGACCCCGGCGAAATTGAGACAGTACACGCACTGTCAAAGGGACTGGGCATTGCTTCGTCCTCCCGAGGCCCGTCACGCCAGCGTTGGTCCAAACATCTGGAAATGCAGTTCCCCGCATCCCTGTCACGATGCAGATGCATCATTTGTTTCCCGTTGACGTGTTGCAGAACATTCAAAACGGTATTCTGCGGCATTCGGCGGCAGCGAGGTAAAGGGCTGGCTGGCTGGCTGGGCTGCGGGGAGAATGCAAGTCGCTTAAATCGGGTGATTCCGGGACGGTTCGTCCTTCCCATCACCCGCTGAGAAACGCCCGCCTCCTCACTTCGGCCTCCTTGATAATTTCGGCCGCCAAGCTTAGGCTGGGAGCCAAGATGGCGTAGCGCTCGACTTCCATGACGACGTCATTGATGATCTGGTCGATCGTCTCGCGGCTTCCGCAGAGGTTGAGGAGGATGCTGCAAAGGGAGGGCGACATGGTCGCTCCCATGACCAGGAGTGCCTGGGACACAATCGACAAGGCGCCCTGCCAAAGATACGGCATATGCCCGGCGTGGCTGCGGACGGAGGTTAGTCGGTTATCGGGAAAGAGTCGATAACGCAGCAGAGGAAGGGGGCAATAAGTAGAAAGAACATACTGTGCGTTTATATGCTCCAGCTGTCGGATAGATGCCTCCAAGCATTTGTGACAACTATCCCGGACAGCCGGGTCGAGGATGGCCTGTTCATTGTCTAGGACGGCCAGGATGTACGGCCGGTAGATAATCGTGCGGCATGCAAAAAACCGCAGCCTGAGCACGGTCTGCACGGGATCCGGCAGGGCCGTGCGGGTAAACGGGAACTGCAGGGGTATCGGCAAGCTCTCGTACCACTGGGTCAGCTGGAAGTCGAGTTCGGCCACTACAGGCTCCAAACTGGTGGTCGAAGCCATCGAGTCCTTGGAATAAATAAGCTGGCTGACCCGGTTCAGCAGCCGCCGGAGAGCGATCTCGGCCAGGAAATACCAGAGATCGTCGCGTCCGATAGCCTCAGACTCTTCTCCTTCGAAACCACCGGGGAGACCGACATTCTCCTCGAACTGGACGACTCCGGAATGCGGTAGGTCCAACTCGGCGAGCAGATCGCTCTCGAATAGGAGGGCGTTCCAGTAGATGCGCTCCGTCAATTCTCTCTGATTGGGCGGCACCCTGTTGGGAGACATCAAGAGGAGCTGCAGTTTGGTGCTCGTCGTGCAGAGCAGGTTCCACGCCTCGAGTGGCCGGACCAAGTAAAACAGATAAGCTGACGCAAGGAGATGGCACTGCGCCGCCAAGACGTTGTTGGACGTCATCATGCCAGGGAGCAATGCCCAGGCGGCGGTGAAATACTGCAGCCCGGGCGGGTCTTCTCCCGGCACGATACGCGAAATGCTACCTCGCAAGCTCGCCTGGCCCAGCGCCAAAACGAGCAAAACGATGCAACTCTCGGCGCCTTCCCTGAAGCCGTTGGATAGAGCGGTCCGATAGTGGCTCCTCCACGTGTAAGGGTTGACGCAGGCGTACCAAACGTTCACGCGGTCGAAGTAGGCTTCGATATAGGCGGTGGTGTTGGAGAGATCGACGCACGGCGTTTTGGTCAACGAGTGCAGCGGCTCACGGGCCATCTCAAGCTGGAGCAGGATCTGCGGATCATACGGGCGAGAGACGAGATCGCGGATGAGCGGCCACTGCAAAAGGTGCAGAGCCGCGTTGGTGTGAATCTTGGGCATGGTCGAGATGTTCGTGGGGTTGTGCCAGGTACCCAAGCCGCCGCTGGGAATAATGGAGGTAAAATTAGTGGTACCGGCGACGCCAATCATGTTGTCGTTGAGGCCGGAGCCGTTGCTCATCGAAGGGGACTCATGGTTCATCTGCATACCGCCGCCAGACTGACCGGCGACCATATTCATCTGCAGCAGGTTCTCGATGCGGTTCAGACGTTCTAGAATCAGTTTGTCACCAGCGTCCAGTTTGATTCCCGGTTCTCGGTAAAGGCACTCGGCACCCAGCTCGGTACAGAGCTTGCACTTGGGCTTGGTTCCATCGCAACGGGACTTGCGTGACCGGCAAACTTCGCACTGGATAGACGGGGGGAAATGAGGTCAGTCTCGGGAACGCAGAATATATCTTTTTTTAAGAAAAAAAAAATTGAGAAAAGAGAAAGAGAAATAAAAAGGAAGGCTGAACGTGGGAGCCACAGGGCGACGTACGGCAATGGTGGCTCTCCTGCGCGGATAATCAACGCCAATGTCAGTGTTCCTCCTCTTGAGCGGATTAGAGCCTTCATCACTGGGCGTCTTGTTCAGACCATTGGCCGTTTCCGAACCAGCGCGAGGATCGGATGACTGCGACATGTTCCGGGCCTTCTGTGCAGCTCCGAGAATACCATCCCTGCTAAAACTCTGCGTCCTCTGAACCTTGAGCGTGGCCGAAGGCGACTTGAGCGGGTGAGTGCCGTTGGTGACTGAGGTGAGGGAAGGGGGAGGAACTTCCGGGTTAAAAGTATGACTCGAGGGCACTGGGAAAGGGCGAGCGGCCGCCGCAGTAGCGGATCGGGGCGAGTCACCCGTCGACGACGGGGACATTGTCCGAGAGTCGAGACGGAGACGCTTTGGGGCGGACGTTGTGGGCGGTTGGTGCGCTCCGTGACAGAGCTGGCGAAGGGGGAAGAAGGGCGGTGTTTGTTGAATTATAGCGCGGCGTTCCGATGTTGCTGCTTCTGCCACAAAGGAGCCACGGCCGACAAGATCGCAGGTGGGGGGAAATAGCGTTCGTGACCGACTACCTATTGAAAATGAAAAAGCATGACACCGCAGTTGAGGTGCTTTGAGAAGCGGGCCCTGATAGGAAGAAGCAACGAGAGGGAGGAGAGGAGGGGGTTTGAGTGGGTTAGAGGCGGAGAAATGCGGCGGGAGGAGGATCGTGTGGTCTTGGAGGGAAAAAAGAGGAAGCCGGTAGCCGAAGCGGTTGAAGCTGTGTAAAGTGCGAAGTACGGAGACGAAGTACGAAGTACGAAGTAGGTATCAAACTCGACAGGTGCAGGTCGGTGGAGAAGGTCTTGTTCTTGTGGTGTGGGAGGGAAAGACAGGAACAGGAAGAAGGGGAAATTCTCACAATTGGGAAAGTGATGCGGAGGTGAAAATGTGGAAATCGCGGGTGGGATCCACGAGTGAGTCTTGCCTCCACACTTGAATGAAAGGGACTCGGGACTCGACTCGACTCGAACGGACTCGACCAGGGGACAGGGGACGTGTGGGAAAAAATAATGCGCTACGGACTAGGAAGCTACAACGTACACCCCCCTTCCCTCCACAACGAAGGCGCGGATACCCCAGGCCTTCACTTCATAATCCCCTCCACACCCCCTCCGCCCCCCCCCAGATCTTGTCTTGGTGCAGAAAAACCGCGGAGGGGAGTGGGTCAGAATAGAGGGTCAACGGTCGACAGTTTTGGTGCTGGATGCTGCTGTTCAATGAGAGGAGGAAAGTGGACGCGTAAAGGGGATTGGCACAGCAATGGTGGAGAACGGAGGCCCACACCAACAGGAACAGGGATGTCAACCGTCGTTGAAGTCGGGTAATAAACCCCCCCCCCCCCCTCCTTCCCTTCTAGCCCCAGCAAAGCCTACGACGACGACCGTGCAAGCGATCCCGGCACACGGGAGCTTCGTACGAAGTACTTACGAAGGACGTGCTGTAACGGTACAGGTAATTAAGGCTGGCATAACCAGAGGTGCGTTATGGGTGGATTGGGTGAGTACTGGTAATAAGAGTAAGTACGTTGTACTTGTAAAAGTAGTTCTTCGTACAACGTACCGTATGTACGTCGCTCCTTCTCATGCAAAGTACGTAAGTACAGTCAGTACACATTGAACAAGTCAATACGGACGGGCCCCTGACTGTTGGTCATCTTGTTTGGGCTGGGACTCCACTCCTACCACGGTTTCTGTCCAATGCCCGAAGCGGTACACGGCCAGGGATTAGTCGTTGGTGTGGCATCCATTTGCGGAGATGCTAGGTGGGTAAAATGTGGTACCGTACATCGCATCCACGGGAGAGCGAAATCACTGGGGGGTCATCAGACGATGCCAGACGATGGAGCGATGGAGAATGCCGAAGACGGGTTGTGGGGTAATTATCCAACGGACTGCCAACTCGTCCATTGCCGTCTTATGGTCAGCCGGTTGGTTCATTCTATTCCCTTGGTCGAGTCTCCTTTGCTAGTCTGGTCCATTGCTCTCGAATAAATCACCTGTAAATTACTTAGCTGGGTACGGTGGTTGTCCCAGGTTGCTCCGAGGCTGTCTTGTCTTTTTGCTGACACAGATACTTCTTACAGATTCAGCCCCCTTATGGACACCCCACAGCAAGGTGTATATTGCGTATTCCGTCCTTTGTGCTCCCTGTCGCAAAACCGAGTGGGCGGGCGTAGATATGGTCTTCTGGTGGTGATGCTACTGTACGAGGTACATACGTTGTATGTAAGCGCGTCATCTTCGCCTGAGCGCACGTCCAGACGGAGGATATCGGACATCGGGTCAAGACGAGTGCGAGTGCGAGATTCAGCTTCCCCAGCGCCCAGAGTCGAAGCATTGACCAGTCAATGGCTCCGGAGACTTAGGAACCTGGGTATTATGGTCTACCCTCTGTACCGAGCGTAAAAGTCTTACATTAACTCGGAATCTATATGCATTATAAGGTACATAATATACAAGGTACATAATATAACGATCAAGAACGAGCGAGCTTATTCTCTTGCATCGTCCCCTTTCAGTTTGGGGCCGATGTGAGGATAAGGGACCGAGATCGCACCATACTCTGGCTCCCGTGAAATTTAAGGGCACGATCCGTCCGGCAGTCTTACTTTTTGCAGGGACACCGAGAAAGTCTTGGGTTGTGGGGCAAGAAGACGACAGAGCGTCGCAGTGGGGTGGAGAGGGGTAAGGCGAAAACAGAAGACTAGGTACATAGGTCGAACAAGACAAGACGGGGATGGATGAATAGGCAGATGGGCGGGTAATAAAATTGAAGTGCCACGATAATTTTTGACTTGGGAGGGGTGCGAGATATTAGCCAGAGCAACTGAGGTGCCCCCCTTACCGTGCGTCGATACATGCGTACTTACCTTAGGTGTCTGCGCGCCCGTCGACGACGAGCGTAATTCGTGTATTGTATGAAGTGGAAGTATCTAGTCTTTCTGGCCGTGTGCTTGTCTGCGTCCTGCTCTCGGCTGCGGGGCTTCTGCACTTCGCTTACAGTGTCGCTTAGTCCCGAAGGGACGGTGCCGTGTATACTGGCAGCTCGCCAAAGCATAAGACACGGAGTGTCCGTATATCTTAAATTACAACTAATAATTTCCTATTATAGCCTCCGGAGCAGGGAGAGTGCTTCGTGGAAGTATAGGTACCTAAGGTAGGTACATATAGAGAATGGCGAACGTCTATGAGGTAGCTTGGCCACACTCAATGTCTTATAGCGTCCGAAGTATTATGTACATATAGGTAGTCAACTCGTTCCCACAATATCACCTTTTTTATTCCGAATTTATTCCGAGGTAAACCCAGGGCTCTAAATGGCAGGCATTCCCGACACTAATAAAAACTTCCAAGGCCGTTTAAAGTTCTCTGAAGACGAGATAAACATATTAAGCTTATTGCCTAAGACATACAAGTATAGAGAAGAAGCGTTACGCTTATATTAGAAAACCCGTCGAATATAGCCAGACGATACCTGGGGCATTAAAGGGTTGGAGTGAAGTCGACGCTATCCTGGTCTGAAATAATACTAGATCTACCGCGGAGATGTTAAGTTGTAAGCCCTTAGTAAGAATACGGGCGCTTTGAGAGAACGTACTTTTTAAGACCTGAGATGCGTATGACGTCCGCCCGCAGGCCATAGAAACGATGAAAACCAGGTACTAATCTAATTATTTACGCGCCCACGTACCGTGGATACGCATTACCGGGCTCCTATGTTTCCCGGGCATTATCCCAGGGGCCCTATGCCCAAGCGCCCGAGGTGACTATGCACCCCGACAATATAGTGTATCCGTACATGGTACATATGTATTTCGTTGCGTGAGAGATCATGGACCATTTCTAGCGCGTTTTAGCCCTGCGGGATTCTTTGCCTCAGGACCTCAACCATTGCGCAGTCGACGACGACTAACGCGTCTACGTCTTACTCCGTAGTTTTATACGTCCTACATTATAGCTCGCAGCCAAAGCCCGATCGGGTCACATGAGCGTCGGGGTATAAGGTACATAGGGGGGGTGTTCTTTTTTCAAGCGCACCAGACCTTACATAGATAGACATGTCTTACTCCTGCATTAGCGGTAGAATCCATGGCTTCCAGAAGCATGAACATCAAACATCATCACAGCCTCTTCTCATCACGGACCTCAGCTCATTTCCTACGTGCAAGGCAAAACTTTGCCAAATTCAGCCTGTGTTACCCCGCGACTTTTTCCCCAGCTCGTCTGACCAATGATCATATCAATGATCATATACATCATCGAATAATCAGAAATCATCCTGGACGGAGAGCCTCGCACTCTGAACCACGGCACAGACAACGTACGTAGTACGTACGAAGTACATACGACGAACCGAGAACACTAAGGTAGCTGCCCAAGCAGCTACCTTAGCTAGTAAAAGCCACGAGGCATGAAGCAAGGCAACGTCCGGTGTGGCTTCGGGTCACTTCCGGCTCCGTCCTTCGCTCCGTCGCCAATGTCAATGCGCATGTTGGGCCCTGTGGGCGGAGGACGAAGTGTACGCAGGACCGAGTACACTGTACTCGGTCCTCCGTACACAGGATAACGTCGAAGCGCCCGTCGTGGGACATCAAGATAAAGTCACCCCAACGGCCGCAGAACAAACCTTACCTTGCAACATGCAGCACTATCTTACCGAGCAACTAATTACACCACCAACCCCGATCCTGGCTTATTTTAGCACGTAACCATGTAGGACATTTAGGATAAATTCCCTCGAACATCGGCCCAACCTTCTGCCGAGCGTCCCCCCCGTCCAGCTTATGTACATATGTACTCCCCCGGTCGGCAGGCATTGCAGATCCATGCCTGTTTTCCTCAGACTACCTATGCAGACTCGACGCCACGTCTTTTCGGCTACTTTCTTCCATCTGCCTCCAAGCCTTCGAGAACAAGCTTCGAGAATGAACTTTGCGTGTTCTATTGTTCCTGAGACAGCGGCGTCAGATGGTCTCATCCAGAAACCTTCATCTGCGTGATCATCACTATTTTCTAGCCACGTGCGTCAAGGCCTATGCACCTTGGGTGCTGTTCTGAGCGAGACCGCAGGCAAAACGTACAACGTACAACGTACAGAAGAAGCGCAGCTGAAGAGAGACAGATTCGTGTCTTGATCGGCAGTGCCAGTCATCGGGGGCCCAAGATACGCTTACTAAAAGGTGCAAAATGCAAAATGCGATTTGTGGACAAGAGGCGTCCGTCGCGTTCATGTGCTTTTTTCTTTCTTTTTTTTTTCTCTTTTTTTTTTCCTAGCGCGCGCGCCCCCATCTCGCACTGACCGTTTCGGCGTTCTGCCCCTGTCACGCAGCGTTGCCGATAATAATCTCCAACGAGCTTGGAATGTTCCATCGGCCCGGGGGGGGCACCCCGCGACCACGAGGTAGACTGGCCGTTATGTTCTTATTGGCATGCATGCCTTGTTTACTTGGTATAGTCGCGTTGCGCAGTGACGCTATTTCGTGTAGCGTACAACGTACCTGTACACTACGTTGTACACCTCTGCCCTCGTTGCAAATGCAGTCTGTCAGGGACCAGGGGAGATGGGGGAGATGCCTAGGCCGATATCGCAACCAGATTTTGGAGACCGCAAGTGTCCTTCGTAGTCAGCCGCTCGCAGCCCATGCCGCGGAGACACTCTAAAACCGCACTTTTACTCTGCTTATAATTATTAGCTGTGTTGAATTATTGACAAGTCGTCTCTTGGGTCGTCTATCCATTTGAGTCTCCGAACACTGAACAAACAGGCAACCGTCCAGTTTCACGTGGCTTGCTGAACGAGGCTGTCTGACTTATAACGCACCTAACGATTGCACCGGGTCCCAATAAATAATAGTAGGAGGATATATTACCTATGGCATGACAGGCCTGGGACAAATTACGCGGGTTCGATGTTTATACTCCTCCCGTGCTAAAAACCCCCCATTACCAGGAGATGATAGTGCAGCTACTATCGTGACGAAAGCGAATCCCTCGAGGAGAGCGGGATGAGTGCAGAACCAAAGCTTCATGCTCCGTATCTGCGCATCCCGTCTATCACAGCGGCAACCACTACCTAGGCATCGCGACAGAAATTGTGGACGAATGGAACGCGCCTGCCCACCGATCCGCCCCCCTCCCGTCTTATTGTCCCTATTGTTTCATTCTGTCCAACCCAGAGATCTCAACCCCGGATACCAGACCCCAGACCCCAGACCCCAAACGCCCATAACCTAGGCCCGAAGTACGTACACGTGTACGGTGTATGGAGTACGGCTTGCTTCCCCACAGAGACGGATCACGATATCATCCCGTACCTGATGGAGTACAATGCATGATTGGTCTCACCGAGGTGATCAACCATCCCGTCCATGCGGCGTCCACTCGACATGTCAGAATATCGTCAATCTCCAGTCTCCTCCCTCTCCTCCCCCCTCCCCACTCTCCTCTACCCCGCAGATCTCACAAGCCCTCTTCACAAGCCACCTCACCCCGATGATGCCTCATAGAACCCTCCCCCCTTCCATCCCGCATCATCGTCATCTACGTGTATCACAGGCGAAGGACGATGTCCAGTCGATTCCAACCGATGACGCGCAATCACGCATACCTAGTCCCCCTCTCCGTCCTCATCGTAGACCTCCCGACTCTGTTTCCTGGGGCACTGATCAACTGACAGCCGTGCCGGAATAATGAAGTGAGTGCTTGTACGAGTGTCCGTACCTAGTACCTTGTGTAGGTGCTCTGTTCTCAGCATTGGAAAGCCCTGTTACATGAGCCAACCCAAGGTAGCCACCGATCCCACCACGGAGAGTGTGCCGAAAACCGGCAGGCGCATGATTGGCCTGCCAAAGACCATGAACGGGGCGTGCGCCTTTCCTAGGTACCTTAAGGTATTCGGGCAGGCGTCTCGGATTTGGACGTCTCGCCGCCATATTCTCTGTAGCGTGTCCAACGATCAGACCACCATAATGAAGACGACAACGTACACCCACCCATTATGACAGGTAGTAATGTTATCATGGTCCCCGAAACCCCGGTTCTTAGCGTCTTAGCGTACCACACATCTTGATCTTCTGGATCCCAAATCCGGTGGTGAACGATTGTCAACGAATATCTCGTACGAGGCACGCGCGCACTCTCGCCCCTCGGACGAAATAGATATGTACAACGTATTATATACGTACCGACCTAGCGTCCTGTGTCGTACACGTACGACGATACCCTCCCACAGCCCCAAGAGCCTCATTTTGTCTCCACTTACACGCCACTGCAGTCCCTCTTCTATGGTCCCTTGACCACCCGCCATCTCCATCCATCGACAAACTCGCCGTCCAGCGCCCGTCGTACCAGGTTTCCCCTTTCGCTTTATTACTTACTTTTAATATCTGCGTTTATATTAATATATTAACATTACGCCAACGCCATGTCCCGCGCCCCGTTCACGTGGGCGTCTCCGGTATGAGGGGGGGGGAGGGGGTCCAGGGTCCGAGGGTTTCTTCTTCGGCCTCACCCATACCAAAAACGCATATAATATACACTACATGTGTATTTGTATACATATACGCCTTGCATGTCGCCACTCGGGTGGAGAAAACCAGAAGTGCGCTACGCCTGAGGGCTTGGAGCTTCACATGTTCAGCAGAGCATTCGGTCGAAAAGCGAGCCTGGACCCCCTTTTTTTTCTTTTTTTTTTCTTCGACTTCTCGTACGGCGGATTCCGTTCTCGTATTCATCCCGGGTTTTAATATATACAGGTAATCCACTGCCATGATCAGCTGTTGCTCCGGAAAACAGGCCACGAAAAAAAGGAAACAATCAAAACAAAGGAGATCAAATGGGAATATACTGCATCTCGTCATCCCATTCCGCATGAGATGCTTGAACATGATCAAGTCAGGTGGGATGTGCCACGTCAAGCCGGCTCGCTCCGGGCCTTGGCAGATGGCAGCCACTCGCTACCCTTCCGGCCTTTCATGCAGCCAGTCTGGAACCGCTTCCTCGATTTACTCTCCTTGACATTGTCATGACTCCACAAGTTACAATTACTACGATTGTATAATACAATCTGCCTACAGTCTGCCTACAGTCTGCCTCAGGTCTGCCCCTACTCAGCAAAGATGACGGCGGTTACCTCTCCCCCCAGTCGGGCGCTGGCGATTATGTTCTTCAGCTGACCCGTTACGACGTCTCGCTGAATGGTAACCACGCGGCCATCCTGCTGCAGCGCTACGGCGACAAGGGTGCCGGCCTGGTTGTACGAGAAGTGGCGGGGGATGAGACCCCCTGCAGGGAATTTCTGCAAGAAAGACAGCTCACCCGTCTCGGGGAAGATGGCGAAGACGATCAGCGAGTCCGAGTCGATCCAGTCTTGATCCTGCTCGCCAGAAGTTGGCACATCGGGGTTCGGGATCTTGAACGACTTTTCGTTCCTGGAGGATACGGTTAGGTATCTCCCATCGGGCTGTATGGGGCTTCGGTATTAGTCTTTACGTGTCGTGTATTTGAGATGTACCTGCATCAGAGAGGGCTCTTACCGACACTGCAATCTCGGCAGCACTTGCACCAGCGGGCACTTGATTCCCGTAGCCGTGAGTAGGGCATTGAAAGAATCGATCGAACCGGATGCCCCCACTAGCAGGGTACGACACACGGTAAGCGGTGATGGTGTTTGTCAGTTCTGAGATGAGGTACATGTAAGTACGAATGGTCTGGCCACCGAGCGCCACGAGGAAGTCTACGTGGCGCGGCCCGCTGCCTGGCACGGTGACAAGGGGCTCGAGGGTGGCGAGATGGAGGCTCTTGGGATCGACTCGGAAGACGCGGACGAGATCTGCCCCCAGGTCCGGGACAAGCACGAAGCGGCCTGTGGGGTCGACAAAGGCTTGGTGCGGATGCGGGGCTTCCTGCCGGGAGGGCACGGGACCAGGCTCGGGGAGACTGAAGGTCTCCGTGTGGAGAAGAGTCAGGGCGGAAGCAACCCCGGCGTCGAACCAGGTGAGAGAAGAGCCTCCGCTACAAGACGACGGACGCCAGACAAAATGGTCAGTTTTGATGAGGAGAAGGAGAAGAAGGAAGAGCGTGGCTTGCTGACTCGCAGTAAAGAGGCTTGACGATGACGCGCATAGACGGACGGCTCCATATTCCAAGATGGACCGATCAGGGGACGGGTTACGGGTTACGAGTTGAGGTTGCGATGGAAGGCGGGAAGGGCAGTGTGCGGACGGATGATGGTGATCAGAGGCAGGGATTGAAGGTGGAAGATGTCCGACACGCCACACGCCACACGCCACACGCCACAGCGGAAGCGCGCAAAGGGCACCCCAGGGGCGGGGGAACAAGACATACTATTGGGCGACAGCGAGGCCGCGGCCCTGGTCGCCATAGATAGCGGCGCTCACGGGGCCAGCGACGGTGTCGAGCCTGTCAAGCAGCTCCAGGGAGCCGTTGTTGGCGAGGTGGAAGGCCGAGACGGAGCCGTGGTGGGCAGAGAGACCCTCATCGGTGCAGTAGAGGGTGGAGTTGAGATGATCGAAAGTCAGCCAGGATGGACTCGGCGCGCAGCCGAAGGATGTGGATAGTGGGGCCAGAGAAGCAGCATTAAGCACCTCATGGCCGCCGTCGTGGGCATGCCGAGGGGCTAGGGTGAGGTTCAAGGCGGTGACGGAGCCGTCATAGGACGCTACGAGAAGAAGGGAGGACGTTGAGGCTGGCAGGACCTCACTTCCCTTGTCCCCAGCCACCAAGGGACGATGAGACAGCGGGCCATGATCTAGGGAGTGGGAGTAGGAGTAGGAGTGGAAGTAGGAGTAGGAGTAGGGTACGGATATTCCTAGCCGATGCAGGACAGAGCAGGCATGGGCATGGGAGTGACAGATCAGAAGAAGTAGCAGGGCTCCGAGGAGGCAACCTACGCTAACCAAGGGGACGATGATGTGGTTGGGGCGGAGGAGCGCGGCAAGCAGAGACTTGGACCTAGTGGTGGTAGAAGGGGTCTAGGTCCAGGTCCCTGTCCCTCTTTCCATGTCCTTCATGTCGAGGTGAGCCATGGCCATGGCGTGGTTCCGCGACGTTGAGAGTTTTCTTTGTTTTCTTTGTCTGACGAATACCGAGAAAACGATCAACGTATGGAGTCTACTTCCTATTCGGGACGCAAGGAGGGAGGAAAGGAGCCGACTGGAGTTTGACCCAGAAGGGTTTGGGTAGATGGAGCCCACGTGGACTCGGACTCGAACTCGAACTCGAGACGGGCAACAGGAGGAGGCTTGCCGTCGACCTCGGCTGGAGGACAGGATGGATGGATGCTGGCGATATGCAAAATACGTGCGTTGTACCTGCACCAGCAAAATAGTCGGGCCCGCTAGGTGGTAATTAACAGGGCGATGGGTTTGCAACCCAACCAAACCGAGCCAGACCTATTTCTGACCTTGGTTAGCCATTGTTTCGGCATATTAAAAAGAAAGAAAGAAAAAAGAAGAAGAAAAAAAGAAGAAAAGAAGGAGAAATTTCACTACCGTGAACGAATATCTGTCCGTACGAAAAAAAGTACGTGGAATGTGGTGCACAATACTCGATGGAGTTGTCTCCTCGAAGGATGCAGGCCACTACCCCAGGTCTACCTACGGCATGGCGAGAAAAGGAAGGAGACGAAGCCAAGTCCGTCGGCGCCACTGATACTGATGGCTGAGAGCTGATAGCTGATGGAGGGCAAGAGTGGAGGAACCTGGGGCGTGCGCGTGCGGACTTTGAAACCTGGTAATGGAGTAATTAGCAGGGAGAATGGGAGTGTGGAGATGATGTGGAGTGAGAATTGAGGAGAGAAGACGGAGGAGAAGAGACGCAGATAGTAGATTGGAGCCGTCGCTTCAGGGGTTGCAGATGCGATGCGATGTTGCGGATACCTTATGTGATGCATGCGGGGAAGAGGACAGGGGAAGGGAACAGGGTCCAAGAGAATTTTGATGCGAAGGAGCCCGGTTTGGTAGGGATCTGCGAAGCAAGTGCGGAGCAACGACACCTACGTTGTACCTGGGAGACAAATGGAAGGTACAACGTAAAGGGGAAGGGGAGGGGAAGGGGAGGGCAAGAGGGACTGGGCGTGGATGCAGGTGCGGAGGAGGGAGGAAGGAGGAGGAGGAAGGGACATACGATACTTCCTCTACGTTGTACCTCGGATGCTTGGACCTGCGAGCGAGACACACAAAAGAGGGGCATTTCGTAAGGTACTGTTGACCTGTATGCCTAGAACCGTGACAAAGTCCGTACCTAAGGTAGTCTCCGACTGAACTCGCGCTCCTGGGGATAAATCAAAGGAAGTAAAATAATGTGGTGTTGTAGTAAGTAATTACAATGTACAGTACATCTCGAAACAAGACTACAAGACTTTGGAGAGCTAATGGAAAGTCAACAGCGACTTTGGTGGATAGACGGCCCAAGCTCCCGTCTCTAGCAACCTTGACGAACATACCTAGTTACCCAAGGATGTAGCTTGAGTACGTGTAAGAGAATGAGAGATTCCATTCCTCAACCTCTTCGACCACGTAATTACCATTACGGGAAACGAAGCAATTATGTACACAAGGTACTCCGTACAACGTACGGAGTCTTCATACTAAGGTACCTTAGGTACATACGGCACCCAGGACCTTGCAAGTGCATTGCATCGACTGCACCGCCAACACCATCAACCCTCAAGTGCAACCAACCAGACCTGCCCAAGGCCCCTTGCCCGGCATTCGAGTGCCTTTAGAAACGGTAGACATGCACGCTGTACGTGCAAAGTAAGAAAGCACCAAGCATGCGTCTGCGGCAGGTATGTACGTTGTATGTAAGGTAAGTGTAGGTTGTATGCACCATCTCACCATGTTATCACACGCCACGCCGCTAAGGTACCTTGCTCGTGCCATCTCCCAAACAACAAGCCCCGACTGTACGAGATATTCTGCCAAGCCTGTCTTGCCTATGTATGCTTGTTAAGCCAGGACATCCCAGTGAGAATCAGTTCCCCGTTGACAGACCGGACCGGACCAGACACTTCCTTACGGCTGGCTGGCCGTCTTGTCTGCCCCCAGGAACGGAGATGCGGCTTCCAGAGTCTCCCCGTCGTCCCCTACGCACTTTCTCATCGCCGCGAAAAATTCCAACCAGCTAGAACGGTCCGTCCTTTTCGTCTCCCCCCTATTCCAGCAAGGCTACTTGTCCAGACGTCCATTCCTTGCTATGCTTCTTTTTTCCCCCTGGAAAATAGCTGCCCGAAACAGGCCGTCAGTGCTGGTTTCGCTCTACACGACTTCGTACTAACGGTTATACCCATCGACCGTCCGAACGGACAGGGACCTTTTTTTCTTTCGGCTCCGAGATCTCCCCAGCGCTTTTTCTTTCTTTTAGCCTCTCTCCTGCGATGCACACACGTTTCTACATGATCTTATTAATTAGGTAGCATACCTACTACACATGCGTGCTGCATAATGGGGACATGCTTTCCCAATCGCAACGTGTCATGTCCTCTTCGATGCGCGACCTTAAACGACCCAAAATGCCAGAGTGGCCCCACAGACGAGGACGTCCTCCCGACAACCTGGAGCCGAGTCCCGGACGGGCCGGTACTTGACTTGATTAACTTGACATTAAACGAAAGCGGGCGGGTAGTGGAACGGAAGAAGACGGTTACACCGGGTAAAATGGCCTAGGCTATTACCCTACAGGCAGTTCCTGTCTATGGTTCAGGTGAGGTGAGCCGCCTGGAGTGAATGGTCCGTCCGGGCTCTGTGGATAAAGAAGAGGAAGCAGAAAAAAGGAGAGGGGGGAAAGGGGGAAATGTCGGTGAGAGAATCCTAAACTCAGCTCTTCACTCGCAATGACGATCACTTTCATTCTGTCCTAGCTCTGGCCCTCGCGTCTTCCATCTCGTGAACCCGTTCTTGTCTTCTCTGTACTGGATGACTTGCGTCTTGGTTTCATCGGGTCTGAAAACCCGGGACAAGCCTGTCCTCCAAGCATGTCATCTCCATCTCTTCTGTATATTCTTCTGCATCCTCTACTCGGCAAACATATATATGCTCCACGATGTACTCTGCAGTAAAAGCTATTGGTATCTCCTCCACGGTCCCTCTATAATCGTCCCATGCTACCTCTTGCTCAAATGCCCCATCAAACCCGTCAACGTGTATGGAATAGCTGTGTCTTCGTTTTGGGGCCAACCTCATTCTCTTGGATGTTCAGGTCTCGTCCTCAAAGGCAGGGTCAGGGACTGTCCTTCTCGCGAGGTGTCGAAGTTCCCTTAGAATGCGACATGCTGTACGGTGCCTGCGGTTCCCGAATTAGAATAAAACGGTTTACTGGCTCGGTTTCCCAGGGGAATACATACCAAAACCTGCTTCGCGTTGCAAATCCGCCACGCCAGCTTCCTGACGTTCCCGTCCGACCGCACCACCGCCGGCGCAAACTCGACCCCGAACATGTGGTGGATGGCGTACACCACCCGCTTGGCGTACTTGCTGTCCCGCTCGACGTGGCTCCCAAACGGCTCCTCCGCCGTGTTGGGCGCAATGTCCGGGTCCCTGTCGAGGCAGTTCCGGACCACGGGCAGCAGGGCCTCCTCGATCCCCTTCTGGTACGTCGTCCCCTGCGCATCGACGTCCTCGTCGTCGTCGAACTTGCCCACCCGGATCTCGAAGGGCTGCGAGATGGTCATGACGTTGTGGTTCCCGTTGTGGTGGTACCGGAACTCGAACACCCCGGACGTCCACCACAGCCGGTCGCCCTCGAAGATGACCTCGCCCTCGACGAGCTCCGTGCCCGTGCCCGTGCCCGTGCCCGCAGAAGAAGGGTCCGACTCATGGGACGCCGGCACCGGCACCGGCCGGTCGGGCACCAGGATGGCCTTGTCCGACGTGGCGGCATCGTACTGCCCCGGCGACGTGGGGACCCAGCGCCCGAGCGAAGAGATGTCCGTAACCTCCCTGGACCGGTTGTCCGTCACCATGTACAGGCCGATCCAGTCCGTCTTGCTGTGGTTCGCCGGCGCCCTCCACTTCACCCGCAGCGGCGCGCCGTACTCGAAGATCTTGGTCTCCACGTCTTGCGCGAACCGGGCCCGCAGGCTCTCCTTGCCGGTGGCCCGCTCGCTGGCCGGCGACACGGTGGACGGCGTCCCCTCCACGGTGAGAGAGTAGTGCTTGGGATCGAGCCCGGCCAGGTCCGGCGACAGCCTGGTGATGGTGAAGCGAGCCGGATACAGGTTGAAGAGGGCGGTGGTGTCGCGAACGATGGAGTTGACACCGGACGCAAACTTGGGGCGCGCGGTATCCAGGAACTCCTCCACAAAGTGCGACGTCTCGTCGATGACCTTGTCGACGCCCCTCTGCCAATCCTGGACAGGCGGCGGCAGGGAGCGCTTGATGAACTTGGTGAGCCCGGCTTCGCGGCGCAGGCTTCGGCCGTAGATCTTCTGCATGTGGGGCTTCTCGACGTAGGCGATGAAGCCCAAGTTCATGATCTGGCTGGCCAGAGCCAGGACGAAGACGGCCGGGCTCCAGGTAATCAACGCGGCGCCCCATAGGCCCGCCGTTCCGAAGACGCGCTCCGGGTTGTTGAGGAAGCGGTAGATGGACGTATAGGTCAGCTTCGCACCGTGATCATAGAAGAAATCGCCGAAGAACCAGCCAAACTCCCCCAGGGACTTGTAGACGCTCACGGCGGTCCAGGCCTGAAGGGCCACGAGACTGAAGCCCGCGACGTGCTTGAGCAGGGCCGAGCCGTAGCTCCAGTCGTCGGGGAACGAATACAGCTTCCAACAAGCGGCGATGAACGAGGTGTTGCACAGGACCATGCTCAGGTAGTGCAGCGACTTCCACTGGCGCCAGGCCTCGGTGGTGTTCTCCCCGTACTTGAGGAAGTGCCTCGTCCACATTTTGCTCCGGGACTGCTCGGTCAGGATTCTGCCCAAGCCCACGTGGTACCAGGCGCGCCAGGCGAGGGCATGGGCGGCGAAAAGGCCCTGGTACAACGGGGTCGACGGCGTGACGAGGGTCAGGATGGCCACGTAGGATGCCAGGAGAACGGCGGAAGAGTCGGTGACACGGAAAAGGTCGAGGTTCTGAGGTCCAATAAGATTGTGCACGGGGGGCGGTAAATCCTTGACCAAATGCGCGGGCAAGTCAAGCACGGCATCCTCGGAGGCATCGCCCGAGGGCAGAACCGGCGGCGTTGGTTGGTTCTGCGCGCCAGACATGGTCCGCTTCCGGGGTGGAGGCGGGTTGTACGTCTTCTCGATGTGAGGGTTTTCGACGAAGACCAGAAAGGCGAACTGGGCAAGATGGGCGACGATGGAGATGAAGAGGACCTCATAGCTGGCAGCCATCATGGAGATGCCGTAGTAGCCGGCGTAGCCGATGGAATACATGGGATGCGGGGCCATTTCAAATACGCCGTCGAAAGTCAGGTCCTGGTCGATGAGGAAGAAGAAGTCGCCCCAATACCAGGCGTAATCCTTGACGACGCGGTGGGCGTCCAGCTTGACCCAGAGGTTGAACAAGACCAGGCCGATTCCCATGCCCCAGCGCGCGGCGCCCACGATGATGTTCTCGCCGTCGGGGCGGTGGCCGCAGATGATGGCGAAGAGACAATACGACACGAAGTCGCACATGAGGATGAGGTCCACGACGCGGCGGAAGACGAGCCAGGTGTTGTACTCGCGGGGCGCCTTGTCAAAGTCGTAGTCGACGGGGATCTTGGCCTCTAGTTCCCGTTTGAGCATGGAGTAGAGCCAGGGCCTCGGCTGGTTGCCGGTATCCGGGTGCTCGAAGAGCTTCCACCTCGTCGCCCAGGTCTCGAGCCTCCGGTGTTGAGATTGGATGGTCAGGAGACAGCCGATGCCGATGTTATAAGAGGCCCTCCAGAAGAGGAAGATCAAGGCAAACACCGGCCTTTTCAGCGACCAGGGGAGAACATATGCGGCGCCGATCATCGAAGCCAACATGGCCAGGACGAGGACGTCGGAAAGATTTTTCGGTTGGCGGGGGTCAAGAAGCTGGGAGACCATATCGTGGGTAGTGGGAACGGTGAAGACTGTTCCACAGGCGGCACGGGGCAGACGTCAGCCGCGAGCATCACGAGAGAACTGACAGCTGCACGGTCAGGGGGGGAGGGGGGAGGAGGGAGGGGTGCCAAGCCAAGGTGTACATACCTGTGCCGTCCGGCGTGCGGCCGAAGGTCTTTGCGGGCTTGCGGTCATTCTCGGAGCTTGGAGTCGGAGCGCCGGGAATTGAGGGGGCATCGGAACGACCGTCCCGTTCAGAGGCGATATCAGCCGGTTTCTGACGTTGCCGGACGGTGGCACCTCCGGCAGCGGCCTTTGTTGAAATGTCCGCCGAGGAACTCATGCTGGAGGGCACGATTTTTTTTCTTTTCGTTTTTTTTTTTTCTTTTCTTTCTTTTCCCGAAAGAAATTCAAAATAGCAGAGCAGCTGAAAACAACCAACGAAGCGAGGAGATAGGAGGTTGAAGCATGGGTATGCTGAGGATTTGGAGGAAGGGCGTAAGAAAAAGGGCAAGGGGAAAAAAGGAGGTAGAGAAGAGGGAGATGTGGAGAGAAGAGACAAGTGTTCCAGCAGCGTACTTCACTCGCAAGGGAGATCAGGTGCTACGAGGCATATACGATAAGGTAGTGGAATGCTCCGTTCCAGGTTGGCGGTGAGCAGACTAAGGCAAAGCCGATAGTACTCCGTAGAGCCCTGGAACCAAAGCAGGGGGGTTGATTGTTGTTCTCTTTTCCGTGGAAGCTCACAATCCAGTGGACGCGATGCAGATGCAGCAATGTACGTCACTAATGCTTAGCCTAAGGTGGTGTGGTATTCTGCAGTCCAGCCTTCTGTCCATCGAAGTAGGGCTTTTCAGGCGTTTTTGCGTCTGATTGAACGGCGAAGAGTCCGGATGAAGAACTTTGGCCAATAAGCAGCTGAGACGCCGAGTCGGAGGACCACACAGAGTCCGAGGACTGCAGAGAGAGGAGATGGTGATGATGGTTTGTTGGGGGGAGAGCTGTTCGCTAACAGAGGGCTATGAATATGGAGTTGCGGAGAGAAGTGGCTAGAATCCAGAAACTGTCCGTGTCATAACTAACGGGGTAGCGTGGCATTTCAAGGCGATGTTGTCGAGTCTGAGAGAAAAAGAAAACCCAAGCTTGGTTGTGTCGAGAGAAAAAAAACGAATCTGGTCACGGTAATGATGTGCAAAAATTGGGTGGTCGCATGCATGTGAAGCCACTTGGTACCTACCTACCTTACCATACCTAAGGTACCATACTTTCCAAGTTATGACGAAGGTTAGTGGGGCAAGTACTGTCTTGTACTGTAGCCGTACCACGACTTCAGGGCTATAGTTGTGAAGTGGGCACTAGGGCCATTTCCATTTTCCCCGCCCTCACAACCCTTGCTTTGCGTTGGCCAAACTTGTCAGCACTCGCTAGAGACTCAATTACGCACCAATTGTTTCCGTCGAAAAAATTCAGCTGCGTACGCTACTTCTGACTACCGTGGTAATACGTGGCTACATATATTACCTACAGCCCCGCCATCATAAGAGACGCTTATTTAGACCCGCAAGGCTATCTGCGATTGAAGTTAGTATAGGTAGTGTCTCGGCTTTTCCCAGCTCATACTCGAATGCCAGTCCCCGGACTGAGGTCAATGATGTTGGACTAGAACACTGGCCAAATGCTCTAAAGTTGATTCTCTACATCCGACGAGCACATACACCGCGTCTTCATTGCCTCACCTTGATGCAATTGAATGAGCCCGACGATGAGCATCTCCCAGGCTCTTGTCCGGTTCCGTGAACCATGCAACTTACTGTGCCATCCATTGTCCCTCTTGTCGAGAGATAACGATGACCTCGGATTCTAGCAACATGGAGCTGCCAGGGCGTCAGGGCGTCATCGGATTACTCCTTCACAATGACCAGTCGGTACAATTCATCTGCAATGACTACCTAGTCCACGTCTGTCCAAGCCGGCGCGGGCCCTTTACCCAAAAACGGACGTCGTCCTAGATGCTGCAACCGAAAACAGCCACACCCGACCAGTCCTGACCGGAGTCCTTACAGTAGACCACCGCTTCATGCTAGGGAAACCACAGATTGACTCGCTCTAATAGACTGTAACGAAGTAGCAGGCCGCAGACGTAACTACGTTTCTGCTACTCCCGGTTCCAGGGATGCCATAGTGAGGGTACACTGCAGGGGAGAGAGCGAGGAACTAAGGTAGAAAGGCGGGAAATTACCCAGTGCTCAAACGCCCTGTTGCCAGCCTCGACTCAACTTGTGCCCAAGCAAAGAGAAGCTTCACCCACCAAAAATGACAGGGGACCAGAAAGATGGAAGACGGACATCGTCAAAGCCATCACTGCTGCCCAGTGGATCATCGGCCATTAGAGCGCATAGAGGAAAACCAAAGAAAACTCGTTCCGAACGGTCTACCAGTCATCCCAGATGCCAATTTTGTGCCTGTCGTGTCGTGACAACGTGCCGTCCACAGAAAGCCCCGTGCAAGGTTAATTCATACACATCCGCCGCCAAAAGTTACCGGCCGATGTTTCCCAGCCGAAAATGTCTTCCCTTCCCTCCAAAAAAACATCAAGGTAATAAAAAAAAAAGTGAAAGAAAAATAAAAGAGCTAACCCGGCCCTTTTTGTCATCCACTGTCCTATTAAGCCTAAGCCGCCTTCTAAGCCGCCTTCTTGGCAAACTCGACCCGCAAAATGAGATGCTTGAAGCCGAAGCCGTCCATCTTGTTGCACGCCTTGACGGCGTCTTCCCGGTCTGCGAAGCTGATGAAGGCGAAACCCTTGGCCAGGCCCGTTTCCCTGTCCTTGGCCAAGAACACTCTCGTGACGCGGCCGAACCGCTCGAACATATCGCGCAGTTCTTGCTCCTCCGCCATCTCGGATACCTGCAGTGGGAGGGAAGGCCCAGGTTAGTCATTTGGCCTGAAGGGGGGAAGATGCAAATACGAGGAGAAGAAGGAGAGGAAAAAAAAAAGAGAAAGAAAAAAAGAAAAAAAAAGAGAGAGAAAATGGAAAGCACAGGAGACAGGAAAAGAAAAAAAAACTCACGTTCGTGACACGCAGCGTGGCAAGATCATCCCTCTCACCAAACTTGCTACCCAACCTCTCCCCAGCCGCCGTACCAGCCCGATCGCCACGAAGCGCAGGCGGGACGTAGCTCCCCTTCTTGGCCCCGACGCCCCCCGCCGCAGGGGCCGCCGGCTCGTCGCCCATACCGCCAGCCAGGTCGGCCGCGGCAGCCGCCGCCTCGTCGGCGGGCGCCATGGTATCCTTGTAGGGGCAGCGGGCGGTGAAATGCTCGCCGTTGCAGATGCGGCACTTGACCTTCTTGTCCTTGAGCTTGTCCTTCATGGCCTGGGCGTTCGGGTCCTTGTCCTCCTCCTTCTGGTCCTTGCGCCAGTTGACGCTGGGCCGGAAGATGATGTTCTCGCCCACCGTGGTCGTGTCCGGCGCCGGGCCCGCCGGGTCCCGCGCGCTGTCGCCGAACTTGCCCCACGCCTTGCGCTCCGCCACGCGCGGGTTCACCTTCTCCGTGTGCGTGATGTAGCGCACCCGCCGCGTCGTCTTGACCTTTTGGCCCTCGTCGTTGTAGCGGTAGCTGATGATCGTCTTGGTCCCGTCCTTGTTGGTCAGCGTCTGGGGAGGGGGGAGGTCGGTGGAGACCTCGTCGACGTCCTCGTCGTCGGCCCAGTCGTGTCTGTCAAACGAGACGAACCGTCATCGTTAGCCGAGATTTCCATTACGGGAGAGAGAGAGAGAGAGAGAGAAGGGGGGGGGGGACGAGATGGCTCACCTTTTCGTTGTGGTTGCCATTTTCAAGGCCTTATTTGGGGGGCTTTCTTTTCCCCTTATATCAAGAACCGACGATTGTTTATCGTACACAGTAGACCTCTCGTTCGTAAATGGGGTCCCGGTAAGTGGTTATCGATGCGGATTGCTCGTCGGGACAGGGGAGGGTTGGAGGGTTGGAGTGTCGTGGTGGGGTTCTGAGCTGTGGGCAAAAGGCGACGATGAATTTTGACGTTGATTCCATTTTCCTGTGGTGTCTCCAGAGAAAGAGTGGAGCCAAACAGTTAACCCACTTACGGATTAAAGCGTTTCAACGTCCCTCATGGAGCCTGCTGACTAAGGACATACTGACACATACGAGGAGTCCAGCTGGGGCTACAAAGTAAACAACACAACGAGCGGTGTCCCAAGGGGCGAGAAGCTGCATTTCGGTTCAATGATTCTTTTCATCCATTTCTATTTCTGGGCATGATGCTAGAAGTCTACTTCCGTTGTCCTTGAACAGCTTATAAACCCATGGTATCGTCGTCGACCCTTCTTCTCCCGTCATAGGGGATAGAGATATATTGACAAACCCCCTTCCTCTCACCAGAGCGGGTGTCCAAACGAGCGAATAAAACAGCAGGAAGATCCGAAGTGGTATATGGCCGATACTGCCCGTGGGTCTCTATCTCCCGGACCACTCATCATGATATAAAGCGGTATCTCGTACATTTAAACGCCATCTCGTCGTGAGAATCTTCACCCGGGCAAGGTGTAAGATCAGGTAAGCCGTACATAGGAAAATAGAAGATTGGATGACTGTCAGTAGTGATCTCACTACTGAGGGAAGGGGGGGTGGCGACAGGATGGGCTCAGGACTCATAAAGCCCGTTGTTTTTGAGGAATAGGCGGTAGGGAGCAAGTTGGCGGAGGTGCTGGAGGGGGCCCTTCCATGAGCTGCGGCATGCTCCGCCGGTTGAGCCGCGTCTGTGCTTGCAACTCCAAGTCAACTTCGGGTTGTCTCCTCCACATCCTACAAATGGGAGCGGTGGACGATGCCCGAATCTGTCGGTGTTCCTCTCTCGGTGGGACGTTGTGGCTGAAGAACCCAGAGTGGTTTTGAATATCCGATGGGTGGATCATGGAATACCGTATCGGCCTGTCGAGCGACGATGATAGTTTGGAAGTCTCTATGCAGACACTGGACGTCTTTCTTCCCCGGAAATGGTCTATGTGCATTGGACAAGATTTGTTGGGCGCGTAGCCATCCCTTGGGGACAGGCACCGCCGGGGTTCCTCTGACATGTGTGGCAATGTAGGAGGGGACGGTAAATTGGTGCGCGCCAGATGTTGAAACTCGGGTGGTCTGATAGGGGCCGGCTGGTGGTCCTCGCGTCGGATATTCCGCATGCTCGAGGCTTTCCGAGGAGGACTGAGGTGGGCATCCAGAACAGCTAGGTGCTGGTTCTCAAGGGCCAGGCTCTTGCGGTGGGCGGGGCGTGAGGCGGAAACGGGCAGCAGGAAAGTATCTTCTTGCGGGCCTTGGTTCACACTCGTCGGTCGATCCGCTCTGGGTTGAGCACGCATGGCAGAATTTGCAGTAGCTTGGCCCTCGCCGTCCTCTACGTTAGCCACCATGGGCGTCGTCGGTCGGTCTGCGACAATCGACAGTGGCCGTGCCAGGGAGAATGTTGTCGGAGGTGCCCTTCTTGTCGGTCTGGGGGCGGAGCCTTCCAATTGTGGCGAGTTAGCTGTGACAGGCGCACTCGGCTCGATAGAGGTTGACTTGACGAGGCTGAAACGTTTACTGATGGGGACGCTAAAGTTCGGCGTTGAGGTGCGCGTTGGTGGCTGTGAGCTCGGCGCCTGCAGACGAGGGGCATATGTCCCATTGCCAAGGTCCATGAGGTTCATGGTCTGCATGGATTGCCGCCGATCTAAGATGGCTGCAGCGTTGGGGCGCGGTCGAAGCTGAGGTGTAGTTGACATGGACAGTGGGGGGGGTTCGAGGCAGGGTACGTCGAAAAAGTCCCGTATTGGCGAACAGGGCGGTGATGAGCTGGAGGACGTGAAGACGGTCCGCTGCCCGGAAGAAATACAGGAAAGACGATTAGCGCTGTGCCTGAGACTGTCGAGCTGGCATCCATCGTGAGACACCACGCTGTTCGTGGTGGAAGCATCATCGATGGCGGTCTCGGGGGTAGCCTCCGACTCGACGATAACGACGGAGCCATCCGCATCGTCCTGGTTCCGATCCAGATCCCCGTCTTGACCAGTGTCCCGGACTTGTTCCTGTTCGGAACGCCACGAAAAGTCTGGCGGAATGACGCGCGAAAACCGATCCGGGTCCCGAACGACCAGCGTCCGCTGGCTGGGTTGAAGCCTCAGCTGTATGCGGTCTCCTTCCCTTTTCGGCTGGCCCGTCTCGGACGTGCTCTTCTTGCCGCCGAGGGCTTCGATCTCGCGGCGCAGTACGGCAATCCACCCTTCCATATCTTCGACGTTTTCGAATACGAGTAGCAGGTTGGAGGTTTGTCTCTTCTCGAACCCCCGGAACGGCAACTTGGAGAACAGCGAGCGCGAGTCTTGCGTTGGTCCGTTGGCGTCCATGAACGACGAGACCTGCAGCACCCAATGCCGGCCAGGGATGGCATCGCTCACAAAAGCCGCCGAGTCCTTCCCCAGCTGGAGTATTTTTTCCGGCAAGCGGTCATAAGTGCCTTCTCCCGAGTATTGCAACAGGTAGCCCGACGTGCACAAAAGGTACACCTTGCTTGTCCAATCGAGCTTGCTTTGGGATTCAGACGTATTCCTCCGATGCCTCCTCTTGCCCGACTGGTCCCCGTCCTGGTCTCGCCTTGACTGGGTCAAATCTTCCCAGGTCCCTCCGCTCCCTTTGCGGTCATTCTGTCGCAGGATGGCGTCGGCCGAGATGACAGTCGCGGGTAAATGTGCGTATTTCACGGCCTGGGGATACGCCTTGAACAAGGGCGGCGGGTCCCAGGTCCCTATATGACCGCGAGGCTGCTTGGCAGCCAGTGCGGGCTCCATCTTAGCCCTAACCCCGCTCGGAAGCGTCATGAGCCCGGGGGACCGATGGACCTGGGGAGAAGAGTTATGGGCCGCATGCGACGGTCGAGGTACAGTTTGCACCGGCATTGGCGAGCTGATTTTCAGTCGCGTCGTCTGTGTATGAGGTTGTTGCTGTTGCTGTTGCTGTTGCTGTTGTTGGGTAATGGCGACCAACGAAGTACGCAGCCCGCCTGGTCGATTGAGTTCCATTTGTGAAGAGACGTCTTGCGGCGATTCCCTGGAACTTTTTGACCGGCTGAAGAGGTTTCGCAAGCCGAGGCGGGATTCGCGCTTCTGCATCCTGTCTGCTCGCAGAGGGACCCTATCCTCGGGTAGACTGACAAGGTGGACATCGGGCGGCCTGGCTCTTCTCGCATGGGGCGGTGTCCGATTACGGAAGGCTTCAAATGGCTTCGGCCCTGAGGAGGCCTCATCCTGGCCGACCATGGCGGCTAGATGAGGGATGACAGTCTGCGTCGATGGTCGACCTGAACTCCTCTAGACAGAAGGTACCAATTGAGCCAACCCCGCTAGGAAATGACGGAGGAAATGACCGATATAAATCGATTCGACGTCCGAGAGTGATGCTAGTGTGAGAGAAGGGCGGTTTGCGTCGAAGACAATCAAGGCATCTCTCGGATGCTCACGAAATCGAGGTCGTCTGACAGATGACTGTAGGGTTTGAGAGAGCGACTCGTGGGACCGATGTATAAAAGAGCGCACGAGAAGATAATAATGGCGGATCAGCAAATGGACCAATGCTTCTTTTCCCTGGAACTTTGGTGGCCGAGTGGGCGTTCGTGTGGATTGGTTGTTGACAAGACCCCAGGTTTCGCGCAGGCCATAACGAGTGGGTGTTATTGTTATTGGGGTATTTGTGATAGTGGACACACAACCGCAACCGCGCTCAATTGTACAATGGAGAGGCTGGTTGCTTACAGGGCTAAAGCGACGAGTTGGTGAGCAAGGCACATCTTGAAAAAAAGAAGAAGAAAAAATGAAGGTGGTAGCGTCAAAGGTGAAGGGACAGCAAAACCAGAACCGAGGGGGAAGAAGAGCGAGGGGGGGGCCGGGTAGTACGGGGGATACGGATCGTCAGGATAACAGGTAAGGTATGGATGGATATTGACTGGGGAGAGGGACGAAAGGTCCCCCCTCGCAGCGTATCTTTGCCCGACCTGGACCAGATCCTTGACGCTCGACAGGGCTATAAGGCCAAAGCTTGCACCTAGGCAGGGGGGGTCGGATGTGATGGGTCCCACTCCGACGCGCCGCTCTTTCAAGACCAGGGGTGCGGATGCTGGCGAGTGATGAGTGATGACAAAGACGGGTATTTACAACGTAGGTGCAGACAGAGTACGGACGTATGAATGTACGTTGTAATTAGAGAGCGGCAGTCGCGTAGTGTTTTGGTTTCCGAGACGTGGAGTGCTCGTTGGTGAATTCTCAGTAGCCTTCCGTTGAGGCATCCATCTACAGGTCCCCGAGTGTGACATGACGTGGTGAGTGGCTTGATCGTAAAACAGCCGCTCGACAATAATTATGCTGTGAAATACAACGTACGGAGTATAAGCTGGCAGAGAATAAAAAGTCTGGACCAGGGGGTTGTAGTCGGCACTCGAGTATCAGGCTGTCTCCCCCCTCCAGCCTTGGGACCGAGCCCCTGGGAGACAAGCAATCAATGTGCGGCCTAGCCGGCAATGGCAAGGCTTTTTGCTTGCTGAACTGAAGGGAAACGGGCCAGGTGTTACACCGGCGAAGAAACGACGCGCACCCATTGGGTGAGGGGGGGCCAACGGCCCAACCGTGTCATGGAAAACTTGAGCGGTGGGCGGCTTTGCTCCTTCGTACTTTCGTAGGGGTGCGCATGGTTACGTATGTTTTTTTGATTGATTTTTGTACGTTGTATGCGTTTTCCCGAGTCGTTAGGCCTGTGCGACGGCACGAGAACGCCATCAAGTACAGTACGGACATGACATGCCGGCTGCACCTGGATGTGGGCAAAAGACCGAGGGGAGCGATGTAATGGTAGCAATCTGGTGGAGGTTGCCTGCTCGAGTGTTCCCGAGGGACGAGGGACGAGGGACGAGGACGGGACGTGGGAAGAGAGAAAACACGCTTTGTCCCCCAGCAAGTGGGGCCCAAGTCTTATCAAACTCTGAGCTCAACGCATGGTTGGAATTCGGAGGTACCTACTTAATAAGGTAGCTTTATTAATCACGCCCTCGACCGTTTCGTCCTCGTACCGACAGTCGCATCACGGTTCACCTAAAGGTACGGGCCACGATCATCGCATAAGGTAATTATCACCGTTCTCGCTCTCCTTCACCGTCGAACATCTGCATATTGCAGTCGTCACATGTTTTGCCCCAGTAGCCTCCGCTATTTCCATTCGGCGCGTTGTCTCGGGGAAAGAAACGTCTCTCCACTAAGTAATAATACCATGAAGCACGTTGTACGCGTAGGTTCGCAACTTTACAAAATAATAATAACAGTATTAATCAAAGAAGAAGAAAAAACGATAATCCAATGAGACCCTTAGGCCTGAGCGGTTGCCGGTTCTTGGATCAGTTTCTCTTAGCCAAGGTAAACTGTCACCCGATCCGGAATTTTAACCACGCCGCCCATTCAAAATATTTGTTTGGTTTCCCGTAACCTTCCGATTGATGGTGTGCGAAGAGAAGAGCACAAAGGGTTTTATCCCATTTCGGCAACTCTCCAGTGGGGAGATGATGGGAAAGATGAGAGGAAGAAGGAAAGAGCATCACAGATGGCAGTCGGGCGAGTTGCCCTTCTCGCTCCACCCCCAATGCCAATGACTGCATTTTTTTGTCCTCGCGGCGACCTGACTGCACCCGTACCTGCAGTAGCGCCCTTTGTCTTACCCTCCATCACGACGGGCAGAGACATCTGGTCGTGACGACGACGGCCGCGCTAAAACAGACTGTCATTTGACCCTTCCGCGTCCGCCACCAAACCACACACCTATCGGCCCATCTTGCTTACTTTATCTCGTCGGAAAGGTTCAGCAGGTTCTGATGTCCCTTCGCCCTCTCTTGTCAGCTGACACAAGATGACCTCTTTACTGTGTACGAATATGGATATGCCTTGCCATGACAATACAAAAGTGCTCTATCAACTAGTCGTACTCAGTCCGGAAGTAGTCCATGGCAGGAAGAAACCATTTGCGGATAGATAGGACAGGGCGGTTCTGACTCTGGTGTTCTGGCTCGGCTCTGGGCTTGTCCGACCCGTAGCGGTTTGCTCAGCATGGAGAGAAGGGGAGGGAACATGGGAAGCTCTGTCGTTCAGGTGATCTCGAAGACCAAGACCACAAAGAAGGGGTAGAATCTATTGGTGAATCCCGGAGACTTGGAAACCTAATTAACGTTGTGTTGTGCTGGTGGGCGAAGATTCGGGCACAATCTCCAGACTTTTGACGACGCGGCCCGTCATCCTGGACAACTTCAGGTTCGGAGCGCGAAGCCAATCAACAACATAAAATCTACCCACATCTACCCACTCCATATTCAACCAGGTAGGTCATGTGACTTTTTATTAAGAAAGTGGTCTTTGCACCGATCACCAGATCTGACTGAGGTCACCGCCCCACTCGTGGTGCCATTCCGTTCGTGAATCGTATTGTAGGCTGACCAGTGACCACGCAGGTCGACCAAGCCTCCGCCTCCGCAAACGGGCTCCGGGGCAAGAGAACGGTCCCAGGGACGCCATTGGACAGCCTGTATTATTGGTCACACCTGGCCGTTCCGCCGCTGGCATCATTCCACAGTAAAGGTACCTTAATTTGTGCTCGCTACACCTCCGGTCGTGCCCACAGTGTGTTTTTGCTTCTCTCTTACTCTAAGGTACAGAAACTATGATGTATGATTACAGACCAAGCGGAGTAATCAGTACGAAGTACAGTATATAAGGTAGGTAGTGTGCTCGATATAAGTACTCGGTACTTCATAAGGCCATACCTGCCCCGTACAACGTACTTCCTAAGGTAGGTACCTGTCACACCCCTCCACGAGCTTCTACCCCACTCGTATGTCCAGCCTCGTCTATCATTCTGCTACCGTCTTCTCATCGCCTCATCGCCATCCTGCCATCTTCATTCCATGTTTGGGAAGCCAACAAGCTGATAATCACCGCGGTGCACCCAGGTGCGTTGCCCATCATCTCTGGATGACAAACTTCCGAACGGCTCTTGTACGGAATACATGCTTAGTACAGATGCGTGGATCTAGACGGGAATAAACCACACAGCTCAGTGGAGTGACGACAAGCTACGAAATACTCCGTACGATAAGCCTTATTAAGCACTTCAACCGCACTCGCTGCTCTCCGACTTTCTCGCACCACTTATTACCACTCGTTCCTTTTTCTCCCGGTGCCTGTCTGTCTACCGTACACTACTTGGACGCCCAGTCTTCCCTCTTGGACCCTTGGACCAGCTATAACATCACCCACTCCCCGCAACGACTAGGACCTGTTTATTCGGGTTCCCGCCCCACGAAATAGTCTCCTTCATACACCACTTGATCCAGCAATACAAAATAATACGAAGCTATCACAAGATCACTCGATATCGACATCATCTTTGCCTTCTCAACCTCTACCTAAGGTAGATGGCTCCCGATATCAATCCCCTTCCCAACACGAGCTCCACCTTTTCGATTCCCCTCAGCGGCCAATCCGCCATGTCCTCTGCAAACGGAGATGCGTCCAGCTCCGCCGTTTCTCGAGGCGACTCACCTGCCGGTTCTCCACGGTCCATGTCCACTTCGCTACAGGCGGCTGCGACCCTCAACGCCGGTCTTCAACGTGAATGGGAACCCGTTCGACGTAAGTTTTTTTGTCGTCTTCCATGCGTTTCTATCCTTCCTCCGTCTTCCCTTGGAGAGCTTTCTCCCTCTTGTTCCCTCTTGTCTCTCGACCCCCGCCTCTGCGCCTCAGCAACCAAGCGTATACTGACCGGGATATTCTTGGCTCTCGTAGGGTCTTCCAGCAGTTCACTCTCCAGACAACGATCTCCCAGCGCCAGCCGACGACGATCCACCGTCCTCATGAACCTACAGCACAATGACCCTGCCGTCCCCGGGCCGGGCGAGTTGGTTTCTGAGAACCAACGTGGCCGACGGGGAAGTTTTGTTGCGGCGGTCACTGGCAGCCCGCAGCTCATGTCGGGATCTCCACGCCTGTCGGCTGCGGGGAGCTCTCAGCACCATCGCACCCTTAGCCTAGGCGAGCTTCATCAGGAGCTCGAGGCCGAACAAGAAGCCCAAGTGGTACGTTTGAATGGGTTTTTTTTTCTTCTGTCCATTTCCGTTTTTCTTTTTTTCTTTCCTAGCCAGCCTGGAAGAGGACAACGCATACCTGCGGCTTCGCTTCTCGACGGGAAAGTAGGCTAAACATGCTACATGGGAACAGAACCGTCTTCTCCAAACAATTCGCCAACAGCAGGTCCAACTCCAGCAAGCTCAAGGCCAGCAAGGGGGTAGCGGATCAGCGGCTGCCGACGACTCTCCCATCATGTCGGAGCGGTCCAACCAAGGCACGCCGGCGCCGCAGTGGCTGTCGAACTCGCAGTCGCAATCGGCGACCCCCAGCCTTCCGGCCGGATCCTTTTCCCGGTCGCCGGGCCCTAGTCATCATCCGCGCAGCTCGTTCGACATAGCACGGGCGGATATTCAACGGCGGTCTAGGACGCCGAGCCGGGGAGTTTCGCCGCGGGTCAGGTCGGGGTCCATCAGCGGCGAAAGCGATCAGTGGACGCTTGGGCGCGACGAGGCGGCTCTTTATCAGGCCGAGACGCAGATGCTCATCCGCGAGAATCAAATGCTCCGACACCGCATGCGCGATCTAGGTAAGCCCGCCTTGTTCCCTTCACACACAATATGGAGGCACTTTTTTTTTTCTTTTCTTTTTTTCTTTTTTCTTTTTCAGAACTGACATGCTTCCTTCCCCCCTCTCCAGAACGTCAGCTCGGCGAACTGGGTGGACCTGTGTCTGGCTCCCATGGAAACCCCAACGAGCCTGTGTTTGCGTCGAGTCTGGTGCGCTCGACGACCGTTGATGACGACGAGAGCTCGCCGGCGCAGATTAGTACCACGGAGCGTACGGCGGCTGCGGTCCAGTCGACAAAGTCTTGAGACATTGGAGATACGACGCCAACAGAAGATGATGTACATTTTATTCAACACAGCATGGATGACTGGCGTTTGGGCGAGGAAATGAAATGCCTTTTTTCTTTTCTTTTCTTCTTACACTCGGGCAGGTAGTTTTTCAACAACAGGGACATACGAGGAGGCGTTCGGGGTAGTGAGGTCGAGGCGAAATTGGGAGAAATTCAACCTCGTGCGCATTGGAGAGATGTGCCTCTTGCTCTATGACTACCTTAGCTATGACGGCTTTTCCTTTCTCGGCTCCATGTTGTCATGTTGTCATGGTAAAAGTAAGATATCAAATTGTATTCATTGATATTCCTGAAATTCCAGTATAAACATTGCATGGAGTTTGTTAAGGTAAGGTGGCTTATGTAAGGTACCTATTGATTGATTGCTGGCTTGGTTGTACCTCAACCACATATGTTAGTGCGTAATATATAGATGCACACTCCGCACTAACACTAACCACGCTACGTCACAGGCCGCTCTGTTGTGGAGAGTGATGATAAGTACCTAGGTACCTAACCATAACAGAACCTCTCTTCGAACCTCCATCTTCCACCATCTATACCTTAAAACATACCACATAGTAAATACATAAATAAATAAATAGGACGGCATGGCCAGCCTGGTCACTAGATGCGCCGGACTAAGGGCCACTCACTGTCTTCCTTTGGTTTCTCCCCTGTCCCAATCACGCCCATTTTCCTCCACAGCTCCCAGATGCCTCGACTTTGACCACATCGTGAGTCTCAACGCTCCCGGGGTCCGTAGCCTTAGAAAGAACGGACCTACACCTGCAGAACCACCCGCTTACAAAAGGACAAGGTCATAGGAGGCGGCGTAGTAGGCCTCGCCACCGCGCGCCGCCTCACCGAGACCCACCCCTCCTCCTCCACCCTCCTCCTGGAGCGCCACGGCCAGCCCGGCACCGAAACCTCCTCGCGCAACAGCGAAGTCATCCACGCGGGTCTCTACTACGGCCGCGCCTCGCTCAAGACCCAGCTATGCATCCGCGGCCGCCGCCTGCTGTACGACTTTTGCCGCGCCCGCGCCGTCCCGCACCGCAAAGTCGGCAAGTGGATCGTCGCGCAGAACGCCGCGCAGCACGAGGCCCTCGAGCGCATCCACGCCCTCTGCGCCGCGGGCGGCGAGGCGGGCGGGGCGGGGCTCGACGTGCCGCTGAGGTGGGTGGGCCGCGCGGAGGTTCGCGAGAAGGAACCTTTCGTCCGCGCGGAGGCCGCGGTGCTGGAGAGCCCGGAGACGGGGATCGTGGATGCCCATGCGCTCATGCTTGCGTTGCGGGGGCTTTTCGAGGAGGAGGGCGGCATCGTGGCGCTTGCGTCTGCTGTCGTCGGCGTCGAACCGCTCCCGGGGGGAGGGGGAGGGGGAGGGACGGCGGCGGCGCTGAAAGGATCCGCAGGCTGGGCCGTACGGGTCCGCGACGCGCAGACGGGCGAAGAGAGCACCGTCACGGCCGCGACCCTGGTCAACGCCGCCGGCCTGGGCGCCGTCGACGTCCACAACATGATCGTGCCCCCCGACCGGCGGCGAACCCTCCACTACGCCAAGGGGAACTACTTCTCCTACACCCCTGCCGGGGGACCCTCCATCCGGGTCGGAAGGCTCGTCTACCCGGCCCCCGAACCCGGGGCCGGCGGCCTGGGCACCCACCTCACTCTCGACATGGCCGGGCGCATCCGCTTCGGTCCGGACGTCGAGTGGGTCGATTCGCCCCATGACCTGGCCCCGAGCGCTGATCGGTTGGACGAGGCCCTCGCCGCTATCAGGCAGTATCTCCCTTCCCTGGACGCTCGGTGTCTGGCGCCGGACTACGCGGGGATACGGCCGAAGCTGGGCCGCCAGGGGGCCGTGGTGGAGGGGAAAGGGTTCCAGGACTTTGTCATGCAGGAGGAGGAAGGGTATAAAGGGTGGGTTAACTTGCTGGGCATTGAGAGTCCCGGCTTGACGAGTAGTCTTGCCATCGCGGAAAGGGTCGAGAAGCTGTTGTACGGGTGAGGAACTTTGCATGGAAGGAAAGAAGGGAAGCGTTGCCAAAGCGTATGATTATATTTGCATTCAGCCAGCTTCACCACCCCGTGTGCAGGATGATGAACGAACCTACTCGATAATAGAAGTTGCAGTTTTTTGTGTGAGCTGAATCGAATGTCAGCTTAAGAACGCCCCCAATTACCCAGAGAACGTCTCGTTATTTCGTCCCGTATCAATATACCAGCCAAAACCAAGGGTCATGCGTTCCAATGAGGGTATGCCGTATTTTTCCTCCTCGTAAAACCAACGTTCCACCTCGCCGACGCCTGTCCGACATGTCCCACTGGCCGACAGAGAGTCTGTCAGACCACCGAATACGGCCAAAATACCAATACACGAATCGCTTATTCCTGGCCAAAGTTTTTCGTACACGGCCCGAGCGACCAGAGAAAAGAATAAGAAAAAAGGATAAAAAGAATAAACGCGTGCTCGTCGTCATCTCATCGTCACATCGGGACAGAACTTTCGGCCCTGGACATCCACACGAAACTCGTAAATCCCATTCTCCGCTCCGACGAACCTATATGGGAGAAGGACATGTGAGTTCCGAGGAAAAAAAGGAGGAGGGGGATGGATGGGAAGTCCGACGAGATTGGCATCACTTACAAGACACGACCGTCCTCGCTCCACGAGATGCCCGCAGTGTTGTCCGGCTGAGGGGGGCCGTCGTGAACGCCCCTGTCATGAACCCTCGCGTCGACCACCATCCTCGAAATCCCGTTGATAAAAGGCAGGATGGAGAGGAAGTCGCGGTCCCTCTGCGTTCTGGTGTTGGCGCCATCGCCGGTGTCGTCGTCGAGCGATCGCGCGGCAGTGGCCGGGTCGGAGTCGAGCGATCGGTTGTACGACGCGCCGAAGTCGTCCCAAGCGCTCGCCAGCGCGGTGGACCGGTTCGTCGCGGATCGCGGCATGACAATCGTCGACGCGAAGGCCGGAGGCGAGGTCTCGACCGGCCGGAGGGTCGAAGTCCGTCGGGGAGGCGGGCGTATCCCCCGACGTCCCAGTTCGCCGCTGTCTTCCCCTCGTCGTTGTGCGGTGTGCATGCGGCCCTGGCCCTGGCCCCTCTCGCGCATCCAGCTGGTGAGGTTACGGGTGTTGCTGCCGTCGCCTTCGCCTTCGCCGTCCCCGTCGCCGTCCCCGTCCCCGTCGCCTCGCTCGCGGTCAAGTTGCCGCAGGGCCCTGGAGATGCTACTGCTGCGCTCCCTCGACGAGCGACCCTGGTCGTCCTCCGCATCGCCCCCCAGGCGGGGCACCGGACGGTTGTTAGGTGGAGGTGGTGGTGGCGGTGGGGGTGCCTGCCACCTGGGAGTACCACTGCCGGACCCCGGTTGACCGGCCAGGCGGGATTCTATGCGTTCGGCCAGCTCTCTCCTCCGGCGCTCGGTCTGTATCGCTTCGAGGACGGCGGTTTCCTCGTGCGACAGTCCGCCCGCGCGGTCGTCCACACCGTACAACGACTGGACTTCCTCTCTAAACCGACGCCAATCCGACGTGCTCGCGTTCGCAGGGAGAACCGACGCTACGATGCGACTGGCGTGGGCACGATCTCTCGCGTCGGGGGCGTTGGGGATGCTGAGTCGCTCAAAGTCGCCCTCCCTGGCGCTGATGTCGACGTCTTGTCGATGCACGAAACCGGTCCGCACGTCGGCAAGTCCCACCCGGCCGCGGTCCTCGGTCCATGCGAGGAGGTCGAAGGGTCCGGGGCAGAACTCCATGTCTCGCACTGCGCCTTGGCTGGTCATGGGCCGTGAGGTGGTGAAGCTGGTCAGGAGAGGGTCGGCGTCCGGGTCGAGCAGGGACTGGGTGACGAAGATGGAGATGGTGCCATACTGCGTACCCACAGCCAGGTAGGTGCCGCTGCTGGAAAAGCACGCGGCGAAGCTGCCGCGGCTATCCGACCGATCCTCCCGGCGCTGGCTCTTGAGCAAGATCTTGCGGCACTGGGCCCACTCGTACCCGGGCGAGCCCCTGGAGCCAGAGCCAGGCCCAGACGCAGACGCAGACGCAGACGCAGACGCAGACGCAGACCCAGACCAAGGCCCAGCAGGATCCTGATCGTCCACTTTCTTCTCGGCCCGTTGGTGGACATAGAGATAGGGGTCGTCGAGAATGGCCACGAGGATGCGGCCGTCGGGCGAGATGACGGCGCGGTTGACGTAGTCGGGATAGGTGATCACCTCGAGCGGGTCTGGCTTGGCTTTCGTCTCAAAGTCTCCGAGGCTGACGACGACGACAGACTTGTCGTTGTTCGCCAGGACGGCCACGGGGTCGCTATAGATACCCGCTTGTTGACGTTGAGGGACCCCGACGGGCGGAAACCACAAGGTGATGCAGTTAACACGATCGCGCGCCATCTTGACGCTCTTGGCTACCGAGCCCTTACCGAGCCTCGAGTTGAGTCGGCTGATCTGCGAGTGGAACACGGCCGAAGAGGCGGCAGGGTCGCTGCGAAAGCTTTGCAAGTCGAGGGGAAGGCGCATGTCCGGGTCGAGATCGAGGCGCTGCTCGGATTCAATGGGGTCACCCCTTTCGTCGAGGTGAATGGCCGAAAACTCGCCGTTCTCCCCACCGCAGCAGACCCAGCCTTTCGAGGCGACGAGACATCTCGGGGAGAAGGAAAGCCGCTTCAGGGTTTCGCATTCGGCGGCCGTGACGTTGAGGCGCTGGATGTGACTGCTGTTATTGCCCCCGGGGAAGTATACGGTGTCTGAATTGTCGGCGCCGATGAGAGAGCGGAGTTGCCAGTGCCTGGCAGACGGCCAAGTTAGTTTTGGTGATTCTGAAGAGGCGGTGAACCACGCCACCAGTGGGGGAAAGCAAGGTGAGAAAAAGATATCATACTGTGATTTGACTTGAAGTCGGTAATGTTTACGACCCTTTTTGGATATCAGGCGTTCGGTAGGGTAATGCCTTTGAAAAGCATCATGGTCAGCCAGCGCGTCCAAAGGGGGGATCCCAAGGCACGGGGAAGAACGTACGAAACGCCATCTTTGACGGCCATGTTGGCCTGTCTCTTGGGATATCGAGTTGGTAAAAGGAGAACGCGTGGCGAAGATAGATGGGAAAGCAATAATGGGATGGTGCTAACTGCTGTAGCCGATTGCGCGCAATGGTGGGCGATGATAAACTCGGGTAGAGATTCTGACGAGAACAGCGATGGATGGAGAAGGGAATGCGGTGATGGGGGGGGGGGGGGGGGATTCGTCGGAGGTGTTTGAGCAAGGAGCGGTTTAGGTTTTGGTTGAAGATGATCCAAGTAAGAGTCGAGGTACGGGAGACGATGGAAGAAGGAATTAAGAAGGAATCACCGTAAAGAGAGCAGGCGACTTTGATGTTGGAGTGAAAATGACGTTTCGTTGAAGATGGAAGCCTGCGAAGTACCTACGTAGTCCGTAGTCGTACTTGCCTTATTCACGTACCTACCTTATAAGGTACCTACCTTACCTCCGGACTCCTCCGTGCAGGTAGCCCGATACTTTGATTTGACCCCAACTGACCACAAGAGTTTCAGGCTTAGTACCTAAGGTGCCGGTACCTTACTTTGTAATTTTGTAATTTACGGGAGGGCCGGCCCCCTTTTCGCAAGACGACAGGATGGACAATGCAAGTACCTCCTCGTCTTACCTAAGGCACGGTAAGGTAACGTAATTAATTGATGACAGACGGTGCTCGGAAATTTATATACCCACTCCGAGCTCCTGAAAAGCTAATGAAGGCCCCGCAGTGGGCCAATGGGTCCAATCAATGGCAAGTGACCACTGCGGCTTTCGGTCGGCTTCCACGGCTCGGACGTGGTTGGAGCCATTGATCTCATGGCCCGTCTCGGGATCAAAAAATTTCAGCGCAAGCTCTTTTCTCTTTTTATCTCCTCCATTTTTCCAACTCCCAATCTCCCAACTCTCCCATTCCTCCTCCATCATCACATCACCATCATAATAATCCCATCTCCTCCCTTCCATCCCCGTCCCTTCCCCTCTGTAATACTTTTCTCCTCTACATACCCGTATTAGTTCTTTGTTTTTCATTTTCTCCCAGAACTCCTTACTCAGAACACGGTCAAGATGATGTCCACGCGCTTTTCCAGAGCTGTAAGTTTTCTTTTCCAAGTTCTTCAAGGCAGTCCAGCTATCCAGCCCTCTCGGCTTGGTTTCATCGATTTCTAGCTACTAACGTTACCCGTTACCTCCATCATCAGCTTCCCCGAGCTACCACTTCAGTCTCGCGCTCGGCCGCCTTCGCCAGGCCGGCCTTCGCCTCCAGATTCGCTCGCTATGAGTCGACCGAGTCCGAGGGCAAGGTGCAGGGCTCAGTCATCGGTATCGATTTGGGTACGTTGCCTGGCGCGAATCCTCCATCCTCCCCGAACGACGAGTCCGTTCTGACCGTATAATCTACAGGTACCACCAACTCCGCGGTGGCGATAATGGAAGGCAAGACTCCTAAGATCATCGAAAACTCCGAAGGTAAGCCGTCTTCTTTTCCCAATGCTCTCTCATCGCACCTGAACCTTCAGCATACTCACCACGATACAGGTGCCCGGACAACGCCATCAGTAGTTGCGTTCGCCGAGGATGGCGAGCGCCTCGTCGGTGTGGCCGCAAAGCGCCAGGCCGTCGTCAACCCTGAGAACACCCTCTTCGCCACCAAGCGACTGATCGGTCGCAAGTTCACCGACGCCGAGGTCCAGAGGGACATCAAGGAGGTGCCCTACAAGATTGTCCAGCACGGCAACGGCGACGCCTGGGTGTCGGCCCGCGGCAAGAACTACTCTCCCTCCCAGATCGGCGGCTTCGTTCTCGGCAAGATGAAGGAGACGGCCGAGGCCTACCTGAGCAAGCCTGTCAAGAACGCCGTCGTCACCGTGCCCGCCTACTTCAACGACTCGCAGCGCCAGGCCACCAAGGATGCTGGTCAGATTGCTGGCCTCAACGTCCTCCGTGTCGTGAACGAGCCCACTGCCGCTGCCCTGGCCTACGGCTTGGAGAAGGAGGCTGACCGCGTCGTCGCCGTGTACGATCTTGGCGGTGGCACCTTCGACATCTCCGTCCTCGAGATCCAGAACGGTGTCTTCGAGGTCAAGAGCACCAACGGCAACACCCATCTCGGTGGTGAGGACTTCGACATCAAGCTCGTCCGCCACCTCGTCCAGCAGTTCAAGTCCGAGTCCGGCATTGACCTGTCCGGCGACCGCATGGCCATCCAGCGTATCCGTGAGGCTGCCGAGAAGGCCAAGATTGAGCTGTCGTCCACCCTCCAGACCGACATCAACCTGCCCTTCATCACCGCCGACTCGTCCGGCCCCAAGCACATCAACCTCAAGCTCACCCGTGCTCAGCTCGAGAAGATGGTCGACCCCCTCATCTCCCAGACCATCGAGCCCGTCCGCAAGGCCCTCAAGGATGCCAACCTTCAGACCAAGGACATCCAGGAGGTTATCCTTGTCGGTGGCATGACCCGCATGCCCAAGGTCACCGAGTCGGTCAAGAGCCTCTTCGGCCGCGATCCCGCCAAGTCGGTGAACCCCGATGAGGCTGTCGCCATTGGTGCCGCCGTCCAGGGTGCTGTCCTCTCGGGCGAGGTGAAGGACCTTCTCCTCCTCGACGTCACGCCCCTGTCCCTCGGCATCGAGACCCTTGGTGGCGTCTTCACCCGCCTGATCAACCGCAACACCACCATCCCCACCAAGAAGTCCCAGGTCTTCTCCACGGCCGCCGACTTCCAGACCGCCGTCGAGATCAAGGTGTACCAGGGCGAGCGTGAGCTCGTCAAGGACAACAAGATGCTCGGAAACTTCCAGCTCGTCGGCATCCCCCCTGCCCACCGCGGTGTTCCCCAGATCGAGGTGACCTTCGACATCGACGCCGACTCGATCGTCCACGTCCACGCCAAGGACAAGTCCACCAACAAGGACCAGTCCATCACCATCGCTTCCGGCTCCGGCCTCTCCGACTCGGAGATCCAGCAGATGGTGGAGGACTCGGAGAAGTATGCCGAGACCGACAAGGAGCGCAAGGCCGCCATCGAGGCCGCCAACCGCGCCGACAGCGTCCTCAACGACACGGAGCGTGCCCTGAACGAGTACGCGGACAAGCTCGAGAAGGACGAGGCCGACAAGATCCGCGAGAAGATCGCCTCGTTCCGCGAGTTTGTCTCCAAGAGCCTGGCCGGCGAGGGCACTGCCACGGCCGCCGAGATCAAGGAGAAGACCGACGACCTCCAGGTTGCCAGCTTGAACCTCTTCGACAAGATGCACAAGGCTCGCGAGTCCAGCGACAACCAGTCGTCTGAGAACAACACCTCGTCCAACGAGGGCGAGAAGAAGCCTTAAATGGTGTGTTGACTCGAATAGTCGCCGCCAGTGTTTTATTTAGGCTGGAAGCTCCCCTAACCTCCGTGGCCTGGCATGAGGCTCATGGCCTGACTGACGAGGCGCGTTGGAGTCTTCCACCTCCTGTACTCCACTTGTAAACTTATACTACCCAGATCGGTCCCGTCTACCCCCTTATCGTCTTTTTTTTTTCTTCTTCCTTTTTCAAGCCTTCTTGTTTACCATTTTTATCCCATGTTCTTAATACATGCGCGTGTCGCACACGGGTGGGCGGATTTGGCGTTGGTGCATCAAAAAACCCCCAAGATATCACTCCAGATACCTCTGGCGGTATTCATGACATGATGGATGGCATGGACCAGGGGACAGGGGACCGGGGACAGGACGGGCTGCACATGTACAAAGCTGTTTGAAAAGCTAGCTAGACGCAGGTTAATCCTACATCCCCTCTCCAAAAAACAATCTACCAAGCTTTTTTTCTTCTTCCTCGATCATGATTGTCATGAGCCGTTCGTTGTCTTGTGGCCGTAGGTAGAATCCAAGCACGTTATGAAGATGGGACCAGAGTCGTAAGCCATTCTGGGGCGATGATACCCTATGCTGAGACGGCACCCCCCTTCTACTGGCGAAGTTACTGCTATCTGAAGTACATCGACGCAGAAAGGCTTCCTCGGAACAACATTAGATCTGTTGCTCAGAGCAAGAGCTTAGCCGTGTGCCATCATCGTTACTAACTATCTATCCTCTCAGAGTGTTTTGGTTGTTTTGGTCATCTCAACGCCATGCTGAATGGGAGACTGACAAAGAACGGAGGGCAAAAAAAGGGGGAAAAGGGGGGGAAAAGGGGGAAAAAAAAGAAGACACCCATACGTACATACATACATGCAAACCCCCCCCCAAATCACGACCGCCTCTGCTGCCGAAACCGATCCCCCTGCCTCGGCTGGCTCCCGTACGCCCTCCGCCCCTGGACCTTCTTATGATCCCGCCCGCTCGCGCCCACGGAGACGTCGACGCGCGGCGGCACCGCGAAGCCGAACGCCTTGGCCAGCTTGGCGAGGTCGAGCTTGTTGATGTCGTACACGGACCGCAGCGAGTGCGACGCGTAGGCGTGCAGGTAGCTGCGGTAGCCGTCCTTGGCGCTCTTGTTGAGGTAGTAGTTCTGGCTGATCAGCTTCTCCAGCAGCGGCTGGATGTTGGCCACCTTGCTCGCCGGGAACTCGAACTCCACCACCGGCACGCGCGCCGCCTTGAGGTGGGAGAGGAACCCGACCTCGCTGGGGTGCAGGAAGAGGAGCGATTTGCCCTTGTTGTTGGCGCGTGCTGTTCGGCCGACGCGGTGGATCTGGGGGGGTGTTAGATTTGGGTGGTGTTTTTCAAGAAGGAAATAAAAGAAGAAAAAAAGGAGAGGATGGGAGGACGGCACAAAAACTTACGTAGTCGGTGGGCGCATCTGGGGGATCGTAGGATACGGACCAGTCAACAGCCGGGATCTGGCGAGTCGTTAGCCTCTGATTGCTGGGCACATGGACACCGCTGATGGAAACAAAAGGGGGGGGGGGCAACGACAACTTACATCCAAGCCACGGGCGGCAACGTCGGTGCAAATGAGCGTCCCTTGCTTTGCGTTGCAAAACTCGAAAAAGGTATTCGTCCGAGCCTGCTGCTTCATCTTGCCGTGAAGACCTGAGCAGGGAGAGGGACGGAAGGTCAGCCATCAAGAGTCCAGCGTGGGAGAACGGGGAGAAGAGAGTCGCACTTAGCACGGGCAGGTCGATATAGTTCAGCAGCTCGGCATGATACTTGACGGAATTGCAGCTGCTGAAGAACACAATGACCTTCTTCTTGAGGTTCCGCTTGAGGAACGAGAAGAGGAGCAGGAACCGCTTATCCTCGTCGCAGACGACGTAGCCCTGCTCGAGCGTCTCGACCGTGCTGTGCGTCTTTTGCTCGTCGACGTTGATGTACAGCGGGCCCGGCCGGAGCGAGATGCGCGCGAGGTCCTCGACCTTGGTGGTCTGCGTCGCCGAGAAGAGCGACGTCTGCCGGTTCTCGCCCCCGGGCAGGATCTTGACGATCTGCCGCATCTCGTCCTCGAACCCGATCTCCAGGATCCGGTCCGCCTCGTCGATGATCAGCGTCCGGAGGTTCTTGAACACGAACGGCGTGTTCTGCAGGTGGTCCAGCAGCCGGCCCGGCGTCGCGATCAGGAGGTTGACGCCCTTGCCCAGCTTCTCGGCCTCGGCGCGCCGGTTGGCCCCGCCGATGACGATGCCGTACGTCTGGGAGTGGTGTTCCATGAGTTCGCGCGCCACGCCGAAGATCTGGAGCGCGAGTTCTCTCGTGGGGGACTAAATATGCGTTGACGAGTTGTGTCAGCTGGCTTCTCCCCAACTTGCGGGAAGTGTATAAAAAAAAAGAAGAAAAAAAGAAAAGGGAACCGAAAGGAAACAAACAAACTTACCACAACAATAACTCCCGTCCCGTTCCTGGGCTTGAACCGCAGAGAGCAGAGCATCTCGACAGCCGGGATCAAGAAAGCCAACGTCTTTCCGGACCCCGTCTTGGCCGCACCGAGAACGTCCCGGCCCGTGAGCAGAGGCGGGATGCCCCGCCGCTGAATCTCCGTCATCTTGGTGAACCCCATGCCCCGGATCGCCTTCATCGTCTTCTCCGACAGGTTGAGCTGCGCAAACTCCGTAGCCTCCTCCCCGACGGCCGGCAGCGTCAGGGCCTCACCATTGGGCACCTCCAGCTCGTCGGTCCTGTTCCCCGCATCGCCGCCGTGCTTGGACGGTTTCGAGTCTGACCGCTCTGCGAGATCCTCCCCCTCCTCCTCCTCCTCCTCGTCGTCGACGTCGTCGTCGTCACCTGATGATTGTCCCTTCGTTTCCCCGCCCTCCTCCTCCTGTTCCTCGTTCTCGCCTGCCTCCGAGACTCCCTCGTCTTCTTCTCGTTCGTTTTCCACCTCGCTGTCAAATGACTCCGACTCGTCTTCCGACGGCTCTGGTTCCGGTTCGGCAGATCGCTTCAGCTTCTTCGGTCTCCGCACTGCTGTGGTTGTCGCCGCTGCCGCCGCCACTTCGATTGCTTTGCCATTGGCGGCCTTTACGCCATTGGCATCGCGGAACTTTCTCTTTTTGTTTATCGCCAAAGTCATCTTGTCTGCTTGCTCTGTGATTTTGAGAAACGTTGACGAAAACTCCGGGGTGGGGGGGGCGAGGGAGCTCCTAAGGTAAGGTAGTGAACACACTGTCGGTAGAGCGTGGAATGGGATTTTTCCTTATCGGTAGAAAAAAAAATCTGGGACTGCGGGCTGCGGAGCTTAGATAACGGACCTGAGATATTCCGTGCTGGTCGAGACTGGCGTTGAAAATTACATAATAATAAGGTACATAACTAGGTACATACGCGACGCGGGTCAGAGTACGAAAGTATTACTAATGATGCGGACAACATAAGGTAGCCGACAAGGACCGTACAGTCTCACGTCATCTCGTCTCGCAGGTCGAGGTACATCCACATGAAGTCTTCCGAGTCGATCCTGATGGATGATGTGAACGAAGGATGACTTTGATTCTTAGCCACGCTAACACCAGCAGGCCATATGAAATGCTCGTCTCCCTTCGTCTCTCTACGCAATGACCATTCAGCCAACCTTGGGTACCGGATGAGCCCATATTCCCTTTACCCCTATCTCTTCCTTTGGTCGTTCTCTGTGGTTCGACTTTCCTTCCGTCCCTTATGCATGCAAATGCCCACCCGTGTCGAGTCGACTTTTTATAGCCGTGATGCCCAGTGATGTACCGTAACGCCTTGAAAAAAAAAATTCAAAGAAGAGGGGGGGGAAGGGTGTTTATCATGCCGTCGGTCGTTACAGCGTCTCAGGGCCATCTCACAAACTCTCAGTTCCATTGGGGTTTTCGTGCTTCGCCGTCGACCCCTTGCCGCGCCATGTGCTGACGGCCGGGATCTTAGCCTCGTACCTCACTTCCTCGGTACCGTAGGCCCGCGGCGTCAGCTTGATGAGGGTATGCAACGGGACGTTCATCCAGGGGCTCTCCTTTTGGTCCTTCTTCATGTAATAGGCGTAGATGCAGCGGAGGACGGCCTGGTGAGTGACGATGAGGATGTCCTCGGAGCGCTCCAGCTCCATGATGATGGGCTCGAGCCGGATGACCACGTCGCGGTACGACTCGCCGCCACGGTAGCGGTAGTTGTATTTGTCCTCGTCGCGGGCGGCGAAGTCGTCGGGGTAGCGGTCCTTGATCTCCTGGTACGTAAGGCCGTCGCAGACGCCCGAGTCGAGCTCGTCCAGCGCTTTCCACTGGAGCTGGTTGTAGTGGCTAGGCAGGAAGCGCGCCGTCGAAATAGTTCGAGACAATGTGGAGGTCCACACGGTCAGGGGGCGGTCATCCTGAAGGACATGGAGTAAGAAAGCTGTCGGCAGAGCTCGAGATAAAAGCCCCGAGGCAAATAGAGGAGGGAAAATAGGGAAGGTAAGGGGGGGAGTCGGGCTTGTTACTTACACCGACTGACTCCCGGACAAGATCGGGGAGTTTCCGCGCGTATTGCTCGCCACGCGGAGACAGACTTGTGTCACCACCAATACGGCCCTCCAGATTGAACATTGATTCGCCGTGCTGAGACCAATCGTATGAGCAAGTCGATC